AGTTAAAATAAAATAAAAATAAAAAATTAAACAAGCTTGGCTATCCGTAAAGACATTCTATTACCGCCCCAAAGGAAGTTTTATTTTACTTTCTGTGTTTCTAAAGGACTGAGTGGGCGTATAAAATCCGTTACCCATAGCAAAATGCAGTGTGCATAGAGATAGCACATAAATACCGACAAATTGCCGAAGTGAACTGAAAAAAAGAGAAGAAAAACAGAAGACAACAAAGGCAACAGGGGCGGTTAAAACCAGCAGAGGGCAGCTAAGTACTGGTTTTTTTAATAGGTGTTGATCTATACACAGTCTGCATCCCCCCCCCCCACCCCACAACAACAACAACCATGAGGGATATGATATGTGACTACTGCGGGAGGATGACGGATATGGATGATACAGGCCTGACCAATGCAACGTTTAGGACGATGCAAGCTGCCGTAAAGCATGAAGGCTGTTGCTGGTATTGCCCTGACTGCATAGTCAAGGTGAAAGAGGCGATTGCAAGCCATAAGGGAACGAGTTCCCTAAGGACAAAAATAGATGAAGCTGGAGCCCTGTTGGTTGCCAAACTAGAGCAAGTTGGGAAAGAGATCCTTGAGGAAGTAGCTGATAGAATGGAGGTGGTTGCTAAGAGGAGTTATGCTGAGGCATTAGCAGGGCCACGAGAGGGGGCGGAGAGTAATGCAGGATCAGAACAGGTTCTACAGCAGCTAGGGAAGTGTGTCGAAGATATGAAAATTAACGGATGGACCTACTGTTAGGGGAGAGGAGGAACAACGGGAACGTCTCCAGCGCAGGAACAATGTAATAGTTTTTGGAGTCCCCGAGAGCCAGGCGGAGGGAACTGAGAGTAAGGTAACACACGATAAGATGCAGTTTCAAAATATTTGTACAGAGGTTCTGAAGATTCCATCAACCCCACAGGATGTGAGGAGGCTGGGACAAAAGCAGGGGGATAAGCCTCGCCCCCTCAGGATCACAATAATGAGCGAGGAGGAGAAATGGCTGGTTATTCGGCAGGCAAAAAACTAAGCAAGGAGCGAGGCATTTCGGGATGTATTCATTCACCCAGATCGCACGGTAATGCAGAGGGAACAGCACAAGAAGCTCCTGCAGGACTTGAAGCAGAAGAGGGAGGAACGGGGACAGGTGTACATGGGTTATACTCAGGGGGAGGGTAGTGGAAACAAGTGTGCCGACACAGGGCCAGGGGGCAGTAGTGCACCCTCCACCCACTCAACCCCCCACCCGGGAGGCGGCACCAGCTCAGCCTACCGGACAGGAGGGGGCGAGCGCCGTGTAAACAATGACATTTCTAACCACACCCTGCAAAATACAGTGTACTTAGCAAATGCTGCAGCTTCTGAGAATGTGGGGGGAGCGGGTTTATTACTAAGAGCAGAGACGTTACCGAGAACAAATTCTGGCTTGAATGTCATGTACACTAATACTGACACGTTCCTTGATAAGAGAGAGGAGTTTGAAACACTACTAAGAGTACACCAACCAGATACTGTAGGTGTTGTAGAACTGTTGTACAAGAACAGGAGAATCGACCCAGAAGAATGTGAGTTCAGTATTGCTGGATATGACTCATTTACGAACCTTTCTCAAGAAACTTGCAAGACCTTAAGAGCCAGCCAGGCGAGGGTACTGGGAGAGAATGTTTTTGAAGAGTCGGGTGTATCTACAGATCCCCAAACTGTGGCCCACTAAATCAAAGGAACTTAAGAACCTTAATAGACAACGCAGCGATGCTCAACCCTAGCCACCTCCTTATCATGGGGGACTTTAACTATGGCGACATTGACTGTTGAAACGAGTTCACCCCCAAATGACTTGAATAACCCTGCTACGCTTTTTGTAGAAACTCTGAGAGATAATTTTCTGTTCCAACATGTAAGAGACCCGACACATTACAGGGAGGAGCAAACACCCAAGCCACTAGACCTCATCATAACAAACGAGAAGGGTATGGTGGACAAACTGGAACACCTTGTCCCAGTTGGAACCAGTCACCATATAGTGTTGTCATTCAGATTTAACTGTTACCTAGTTCAAGATAAGGCCAGGCCAAGGTGCAAATATTACAAGGGAAATTACAATGGGATGAGGGAAGAGATGAGTGGTATCAACTGGCCTGACTCATTAAGGTACAAGAACGCAGACACTACACTGAATACCGTAGCTAGTAAAGTGACACATTTGATAGATAAATATATACCCAAGACCAAACCCAGTGCCTCTAGGAATACGAGGGGATCCCTATACATGAACCATGCGGCGGTCGACCAAGTTAAGAAGAAAACCCAGAAATTCAAGACTTGGGTTGGGTCAAACGATGAGCAAGACAGGAGGATGTATGCAAGAGCCAGAAACCAAACAAAGTCAGAGTGTAGAAGGGCTGAAAAGGAGTTCTAGAGGCTGGTTGCAAGCGAGGTCAAGTCAAACCCAAAGGCGTTTTACCGCTATGCAAAGTCGAAATTAAAAACGCGAGTAGGAGTATCAGACCTGAGGCTTGAAGATGGTAGTTACGCAGATTCTGACCAGGATAAAGCTGAGGCATTAAACAGCTTCTTTTCCTCGGTGTTCACAAGAGAGGATGCGATTAACCTTCCTGCGTTTGAGGACAGACGGTTCGACACAGCACTGACCCACATTGTGTTCACAGAAGAGGGTAGTAGATATAAACTGTCAAAGCTAAAGGTCCATAAGAGTCCCGGCCGTGACATGGTGCATCCCAAAGTGCTAAGAGAGTTGTACAACGAGCTTGCCGAGCCCCTGAAGATCCTGTTCTGTAAATGCCTGGATGGACAAAAGGTCCCCAGTGATTGGAAAATGGCTCATGTGAGTCCTATCTTCAAAAAGGACGATCGTCACTCTATTAACAACTATAGACCGGTGAGCCTGACAAGCATAATATGTAAAGTACTTGACAGTATTATCAGAGATGCCGCGATGGAACATCTACTACGAAACAACCTTGTAAAGGATTGCCAACACGGTTTTATGCCGGGGCGCTCCTGCTTAACACAATTGCTCAAGGTGTTGGATAATTGGACCCATATTCTGGAACGGGGTTGTAATATCGACATTATATATCTAGATTTTGCCAAGGCTTTCGACAGTGTACCCCACGAAAGGCTGAAAATCAAACTGGAAGGGTACGGAATTCGGGGAAATGTCCTTGCGTGGATCGAAGACCTTCTACATGACCGCAAGCAGTGTATGATGTGTTTAATGACACGAAATCAGCATCTGTACCTGTCACAAGCGGGGTATTGGGCCTGCTGTTGTTTGTTTGTTTCATAAATGACATGCCTGACGTTGTACACTCCTTCATACAAATGTTTGCCGATGACGCCAAGTTATTTCGGGAAATCAAGAACCAAGCGGACTGTGAAGAGCTGCAGAAGGATCTCTGTGAGCTCCAAGAATGGTCAAAGAAGTGGCTGCAGAGATTCAATGTCACGAAGTGTAAGAGGATGCACCTGGGGCGTACCAATGGTGAGGAGGCGTATCATATGTCCCAACAGGATAAAGAAACTGCACTATTTGAGACTGAATGTGAGAAGGACCTAGGTGTGTATGTTGACAATGAGCTTAAGTTCTTGGGCCATTGCGAGAAGAAGGTAAATCAGGCAAATAAATTAATGGCTCTTATAAGAAGGTCGTTCAGATATCTAGACGGTCCGTCCCTGGTAACGATCTTCAGGAGTGAAGTGCTTCCCCATCTGGAGTACTGTCACCCCGTCTGGTCCCCTAGATATGCTAGGGACTGTCAGTTGGTTGAAAATGCTCAAAGGAGGGCCACCAGACTGGTGCCTGCACTTCGGCACCTCAACTACCCTGAGAAATTGGAGCGTCCGAACTTGCCTAGCTTATACTACAGACGGGCAAGGGGCGACCAAATTAGGTGTATAAGCATCTCAAGGGGCACTACTCAGTCGAGTGTCCTTACTTGGAGCTGGCAGACACTCGCCCCACAAGTGGTCACAGCTCAAGATGGAAGAAGCCGCAAGTCCAGAAAACTGTGAGGGCAAACTTTTCAGAGTGAGAGTTGTGAACTCTTGGAACAATCTGCCAGAAAGTGTTGTGACGGCACCGTGTGTGAATTCTTTCAAGACCAGACTTGACTAACACTGGAGCAGGTTCAGGTACATTCAGGAGCCGGTGCTTGCCCAGTACCTGCCAACAGTGCGTAACAGAGAGCCAGTACATGACTAGTACTTGCCAACAGTGCGTGACAGAGACGTGACCGATAACCCAAGCGGCTAACGAGCCGATCAGTGGTGAAGAGGATAAAACAAAACAACAACACCCTCTGGCAGATTGTTTCAATACTTACAACTCTCCCCCCAAAAAATATTTGCCCTGGCAGTTTTCTATATTGTGGCTTCTTCAACCTTAAGCTGTGACCTCTAGTGGAGAGGGCATCCTCTGGTTTCAGGTATTAAGAATCGACTGACTACCAATACCCTCCGTCTGAGGTGGTTTAAGGCTGTATTTACACCAAGCCAGTCAAGTCAATCAAGTCATTTGACTTGACTTGACTCATTGCCGTTCACACAGACTGAGTCAACCTGAGTCAATCAGGACTCAGTACCCAGACTGATTTCGAGGAGGATGGACGCATATTCTCTCGCCGAATTAGCTGTTTTGTTGTGGATTCGGCGTCGTAAACGCAAGAGGAGGACCCGAATCTGGATGCATGAACTCAACACCAAAAGACCCAATTTTGGAAGCTTCAGTCATTTATTCCCAGACTTGGTGAACCATCAAGACAAATTCTACAATTTCTTTAGGATGACAGTTGAAAACTTCAAAATGCTGGTGTACTTGACTGGGTCTTCCATAAGGAAAATGACTACTAACTACCGACGTGCAGTTGGAATTGAAGAAAGAATGGCCATTTTTATAAGGTAAGAAGTGTATGTTATTGCAAACATACCAATAATCATTGCAAATACGCTTATGTGTAGGGCAATAGTAAACAAATGTAACATGAAGACAGATTTAATTTATTCCTGTTAGGCTGCATTTACAACAAGCGAGTTACAACTCATACGTTAGGAAACATGAAATTATAGGTTTACCTCTCAGAGGTTAGATTACTCAGAATAATTAGCACTCGCATTGGAGGTAGTACACGGTGATGGTGTATGTGATTGATCTTGTTCATTCCAGTAATCGTAGGGGACAGAGCGGACGGGTGGAAATAGCCTCCTACGAAAGGCTTCATGTATTTCAATTTTGATGTCAATGTTGTCAGCCGGAGACAGCTGTTTCATCATAGGTAGTAGGCTCAACAGAAACAGGCGATCTGGGTCATTGTCATCTGTAGAACACGTTTGTTCTCGCATCTTTTTCAGCTCTTCTAGGAAACGCATATCCATGTCATCTGCATTGTCGCTGTAACGTTTTTTGGTGACTTTAGGTTTCTTTGACATGGGAAGAGTCGGCATGACAGTACTGCGGACCTTACAGATGTCGACATTATATGCAGCTTCTTGATAAGATGAATTATCTGGTGCATCCAGGATAGTAGAACATGAAGCATTGTGAGATGTGTCTTCCGCATCATAGCTGGTGTCCTCGTCAGGAGGTGTAGAGACGTTTGAGGATGTTGGTCGTGGTGTCACAAGAGGGATCAGAAATTCCATAGCATCATAATACACCCACTTCTTTGATTGGATGTCAGTTGATCCAGATGCTTTAGCACTAATCTTTCTCTTTTCCCTCATAAAGTTGCTCCTTAGATGCTGCCATTTTTCCTTACATTCAGCTTCTGTAAAAGAGATAAAGGAGATATCTTAAATAAATAGTCGTCATAAGAGTTACAATTTATGCTCTATATAGTGCAGTTCAATAATTAATCTTATGCTCGTTGTTAGGCTCATTATTAAGAATTATATTAGCGTGGTATATATATATATATATATATATATATATATATATATATATATATATATATATATATATATATATATATATATATATATATATATATATATTACTGTCTTTCCAGACATGTATGTGGCTACAGGAGAATCCTTTGCTTCCCTTGGTTACCAGTCTCGTGTTGGTACGACCACAGTACACAAGATTGTCAAAGAAACAAGTAATGCCGTATGGGAAACACTGCAGCCACAATATATGCCAGTACCTGCTGAACGTCAGTGGGAAGAAATAGCAAGAGCCTTTTTCGAGAAATGTAATGTACCTAACTGTATTGGGAGCCTTGATGGTAAACACTGTCGGCTGAAATGCCCAGCTGGAGCAGGATCACTTTTCCATAATTATAAAGGATACCATTCTTTCGTACTCATGGCATTGCTGATGTCAACTGTTGTTTCACATTGATTGATGTAGGGTCATACGGACGATATAGTGACAGTTCAGTTTTTAGTGATTCAAATATGGGTAGGTCATTTCTCTCTGGATATTCAGGTATTCCACAGTCTCGTGAAATACCAAATACTCCAACCAAATTACCATTCTTTCTTGTAGGAGATGAGGCTTTTCCGCTGAAGCCTAATCTGATGAGGCCTTACCCTAGAAAGGACCTGGATTAGGCTAAAAGGATATATAACTCTCGGATCAGTAGAGCTAGGACAGGGGTCACCAAACTTTTTTCACAGTGGGCCGGATAACTGAAAGAATGACGAGCGCGGGCTGCATAATCATTCTGTTCAATACTTGCAAGCCAGAATGAAAGCCATGGAAACCATGGTAACGTCAGAGCGTAGGCAGAGCTACCACGGCGGGCCTGATGAACTGACGTCGCGGGCCGGATCCGGCCCGCGGGCCGTAGTTTGGTGACCCCTGAGCTAGGAGAACAGTAGAATGTACCTTTGGAATGTTAGCTAAAAATTTTGGTGTACTTCAAACATCAAGGAAGACAAGCATTGAAGTATCTGAAGCAATAGTGAAGAGTATCTGTGTGCTTCATAATTTCATTCAACATGAAAACAATTTCTTGGTGATGGTGTTGATGAAGCAACTGATTTCCGGTGTTCAAACATGAGCCTGACACCAACAAGAAGCACAAGACCTACAGCAGAAGCTATGTCATTTCGTGACATTCTGAAGTTATATTTTGTATCCCCAGTTGGGGCTATCGAGTGGCAAGATAAAATGATCCACTAATGTATAGTTACTTTGAGAATAAAATTGTTGTATCACCTTTACATTTCAATGCAGCAGCAACCTCCTTCCACAGAGCAGCTATAACATCACGATCCCGGCGGCTACGATCATTGGGATCATATATAGCAGGACGCTCTCGAACTAAATTTATCAGGACGTCAACCTGCATGATGTACACACCACTGCAGACTCGGCATGACTGATGAAGAAAATGGGCCCAACCCCATCTGTGACTTGACGTGACACGATGTGACGTGACTTGACTTGACTTGACTTGACTCATCTGGTGGGAATGGCTTCTGAGAATATACATTGGAGTAAATGTGCATTTGTGGCGATTCACGATGAGTCATGACTTGACGTGACTTGACTTGACTTGACTGGCTTGGTGTAAATGCAGCCTAATACTTACATTGCGTCACCCCTATAATATATAAGCTAGGCAACTGCAAACGTCGATCGATCTCTTTGCGTACCTGAAGTGCCTTAGTGGGATAATGCATTTTAAATTTTTATATATTTATTTACTCAACCTTCAGTATAAATAATTCATAAATTACAATACAATCCGCGGCTGGATACATTGCTAAAAGGTGGATCCGCAACAACAACAACAATAATAATAATAATAATAATAATAATAATAATAATAATAATAATAATAATAATAATAATGTTTATCCAGTAAAATTACATAGTTGCTTAACAGTGTCTAGTTTATCAGAAAAACGTTGGTCCAGCTTTCTAAGGGGTAAATGATGTCATAAATTTCAATCAATAAATTCGATTATTATTTGATAAAAATTAAATAATATAAAATTTATCTCTTTCATTTAATTTAATTATGTTTGTAGTCATACAGTAGTTGTGTTGGTATTTTGGTGGTGTGCGTGGAGCTCTTGTGGGAGGAGATATCTGACTCGTTCAACTGTCTAGTTTATACATAGTGGCACTAAAAACCACACAAAGATTATTATTTACTATGGCATCACCAGAAGTATTAAGTAGGCTAGAACAAAGAGCCGTCCAGGCAGAGCAAATGATCCAGGTGCTCACTAAACAGGTATGTATGAGGGTAATTGCTCACATTATCATTTTGTCACCAGATGTTCTTAAAACTTTCGAAATGTGAATATTATACAGTTATAAGGGTAATTTTGAACTGTATTTTTGCGTTTTTATTACGTAATGGATATTTTGCCCTGACCTGATAAGTTTCTACTAGCGCTATTTTACCGTGAGTGTTCTCAGATTGGCTAGGTAGTTAGGTAAGATTAGGTAGGTTTCTTTGGTTGGTTAAGTCTGGTTCTAGTAAATGTCGCCTTTTTATAATGATAAGAACTATCTGTGGAAAAAATGAACAAATGAACAATTTCTGGTGGTTGTGGTGTTCTCAGACATTACCATATTTTTTAACCATTTTTTACAATTTAGGTAAGGTTTTCAAGGGCTTGTTTGGTGTTCTTTATAGTATTGTACCCCACATTTTTGCTCGGGTCCGACTAATTACCCAAATGTAGTCGCAATGAAGTCAAATGATGGTCCTACAAGAATAAATCGGACTGCCAATCACTTCTCGACTGGTATTTGGTGTCACGAAGTCACAAAAAATTGGTAAACTTAATTTAATTTGAGTTAATAGATCGAGTGCATGTACCTAACCTAACCTAACACAACTCAGATTAAATTAAGTTTACCAATTTTTTGTGACTGACACCACATAATAATCGAGAAGTGATTCACAGCCCGATTTACGCTTGTAGGACCATCATTTGACTTCATTGCGACTACATTTGGGTAATTACTCGCTCCCTCAGTACATGCACGCGATCTATTAACTCAGATATAAAGTAAGTTTTCCAATTTTTGGTGACTTTGTGACACCAAATACTAGTCGAGAAGTGATTGGCAGTCCGATTTATTCTTGTAGGACCACTATTTGACTTCATTGCGGCTACATTTAGCCGGTCCGACTAATTACCCAAATGTAGCCTCAATGAAGTCAAATGATGGTCGTACAAGCGTAAATCGGGCTGTGAATCACTTCTCGATTATTATGTGGTGTCATAAAGTCACAAAAAATTGGTAAACTTAATTTAATCTGAGTTGTGTTGTGTTAGGTTAGGTTAGATTAGGTTAGGTACATGCACTTGATCTATTAACTCAGATTAAATTAAGTTTACCAATTTTTTGTGACTTCGTGACACCAAATACCAGTCGAGAAGTGATTGGCAGGCCAGGATATTCATGTAGGACCATTATTTGTCTTCATTGCGGCTACATTTGGGTAATTAGTCGGGCCGCATTTTCGCTCTACTGTCCACTATGAACAACCAATATTGTTGGTAGATGGGGGAGATCTTATTGGTTAAAATACTCGAAAAATATAAATTTACGCCTTAAATGTAATAGAGCAAAGTTTTTTCTCTTTATATAAATGGAAATATGAAATTTCTTGATCGACCTAAAACAATTCTTTACCTCTATTTTTGTTAGTAGTTTCCATGCACAACAGAAATATGGTTAGGGATGTTTCTATAGCTACACAACGATTGAGTCAGCAAAATAAATGCCAAATGCCACCAGTCACGAAAAAATTAGTTCTCATGTTGTTCGCCAGTAATGGACGTTTAACCAATCGGAGCACGCGCATGGTAAAACAGCTTTAGCAGGAATTTAGCTGGTCATGGCAAAATATCCACTGCCTGTTAATGGTTTGTTTATTTTGGGATATTCCCACAACAAAATAATGAAACATTCCAGAGGGTATAATTCACATGCATTGCATTAAAAATTCTGGTAATAGTGTACCTTAACTACCTGTTGTATGACGTTTCACCATAGAACATAAACACTTTCTGGAAATGGTGGAGGCGACAACAAAAGGACTTATGGAATTGGATATGATAGTGCACCAAACCTAATACCTGTAGTTAATATCGACGACTGACCTGCCGCCGAGTTATTTGTTTTGTTTATTTTCATATATTTTCATTTGGTAGATATTGAGGCACCTAAGGTGCGCACTACTTTGTTTTCTTGGCGGTAATGCAGCAGGTGTTAAATTATGCTAGGTTTTATGTTTAGGTTAGGTTTAGTTTGGGTTAGGCTGGGTTGGGTTATTAAAAAAAAAATTGTGCAAACTATGAGTGTCCTCCATAAAACAGTGAATTGTGTCAATTTTATAATCGTTTACTATGCAAAATCGCCGGCGGGTCAGTCGTCAATAATTACTACCCTAACAAAACCTGACCTAATCTACCTACCGGTAAATATTTTGAAGTTACCAGCACTTATATATTGAGTCTAATATGGGGAGAAAGAAAAAACTAAAAATAATTTATTCTGTACCATTTCCTTTGGTAATTTATATTTTTTGAGTATTTTAACCAATAAAATTACCAGCAATACTGTATTACTTTTTCAAGTGAGCATGGCTTTGAAGTAGAGCAGGCATGGGCAACCTTTCCTCAGTCATGGGCTGCATTACAATTAAGGTATTTTTCTGTGGGCCAAGCCAACCCACCAAAATTTTTATCCTACCTTACCCTAAAGTAATGTTAATATTGTACATATTAGCACGGACAATGAAACTGTTTATCATCACGTCCACCTTACGATATTTTAGATTTACAATCACAGTCTTTTTCCCATTTATGAAATAAATCCATCTTAATAATTTTTTTAAGTAAAATGTTAATGTTTCTTGGCATTTAACAGAAGGTGAGTGAAATAGTCTGTGAATATATTGATTTCCCTAGTTTTCTTAAGTATGAGACACACATACCTGAATAATGTCAAAACATCTTGACGCAAGAGGAACTACTGTCCAATGAAACAACCTATAGGTACATCTATTTATTTTAATATACATATATACATACAAAGCACTTAAAATAAAATTTTAGTGTCATATCAGCTTTTCGCCATGTTTTACCCTGCAGTTTTCCTCATTCTTTATACCCTGCTTATTACAAGTGATTTATGATCGTAGATAGAGAAAACTTAAAAAAAGTTCTTATAATTAAAATAAAAAGTTGTATAATTTTTATTAATTACTATCATCCAAAGAATATCTGCGGAAAAGTGAACAAAATCGAACAACTCCTTCTGGTGTTGGCCGTCTGCTCTAGTATTACCTTCATTTCTGCCAAAAATGCAGATCATATTCTTTTAAATCACTTTTATCTTTAGCCTCCAAAATTGGTATGCCATGTTTATCTTATATCTTAGCATTGGTTTTCTATTAATTTTTTTTACAATATAACAATACTGTATAATATAACTAGTAATTTAGGTTTGGTAGGTTAGGTTTGATTAGGTCATTTATGAATAACAAATAACTGATGATCCCTCTCGGCAACTCCTGGCAGTTGCTAACATTCATGAGTACTAGATAAAGTACCGCTACATTTTATAATTTATAGTTGCTCCTTCTAGAATTTTTTTTTGGTTTTCTACAGTATAAATGAAGGTAATTGAATTTAATAAATTAGGAAAAAAGATTCCCAGATGTTTAAAAAAATAAAAAAGTTTTAATAATGCAGAATCTATACAGCCACATTTATTTTCCTCAGGTAGGACAGCTGCAGAAAGTTGCTGTGAGTGCTCTAAAGGATGAATTGAGAAGGGAGAATCTAGAACTGCTACAAGAGGTGGATAAATTAAAGACTTGTCTGTTGAGTCATGAGAAGACCCAAGGAATTACACAGGTAAATTAATCAAGTTTTGTAATTAATGTCATGTTTATTTTCTACCTTCTCCATTTGTAATTCTTCCTTATTTTGTTGTAACCCACCGACAGTTGTGTGTATTAGCTGGTCTGTAGAAGGTCTTTTGCCTTGCATCTGATGTCATCAATATAGTTGTTAGTAAATGTTATCCTTTGTTTTAACCTTTAAACAGTGGCCAACATCAATTGATGTTAGCTGTAGGGACTGCAGCCATCATCAGTAGGTGTTCCAGTTTATGTGTATAATACTGTATGGGTTAAGCAGGCTTGGGGTAATCGTAAGACTGTACAGTATATAAATACAGTCTTAAGTACTCTACTGCAACAGCTGGAGGGAGTCCTCGATTTATGCAGAACTGTTATACAAAAATCCAAAGTTATGAAAAAAAGTATTGTCCCATGTAGTGATTTACTGCACTGTATGTATAGTACAGCTGCTCCCCGACTTACGACGGGGTTAGGGATCCAAATCCAGGTCGTAAGTTGAATTGGTCGTAAGTCGAAAATGCTTAAATAATACATAGAAAATTTAAAATGGGTGTCTCTTTTTCTTCTCAGCACCACAAAACTCTCACTTTTCAGCTTGCCAGCCATTTTAAAGTGAATTACAAACGAAAATTTTGTCAGTACACAGCGCAATCACTGACGTTGGGACTCGAAAATACGTAATTTAACAAAATTTTGGTACGACTCAGGCGGTCATATGTCTGGGTGGTCGTAAGTCAAGGAGGAGCTGTATATGCATTTTGAGATATACGGTATTGCTTTCATTGGATTTAATTTCTGGTGAGGTTTTATCTGAAGTAGAAATGTTATATACTTACTGGGTATCCATTAAACATTTTATTCTTTCCATTGATATCAGATCAAAATCTGGGATAGAAAACACATCAGTGTTGAAATAACTTGTGTCAGCGTCTTGCCACTACTTCACCTAGTGATCTCGTGAACATTGATAGCTGAAACACTACCGTGAACTGGAGTTCAGATGGTTTTTAAGGTTAGGGTCCAAAGTCGCGTGACTTTAAGCGAAACAATGTTTAGCTGTGAATTTGACACCCTAATAAAACTGTACGTGTAAATATAGGGGGATAGGGACTATAGGAGCATTTAGGTCACTGATGAAATGCAAAGCGGAAAATTTTCTCCTATAAGAAATACAGTAATGCAGTAAGGTAGGAATAGGGACTGTTTTTTTTTTTTTTTTTTAGTTAATTTTCTACTTAAAGAATAGAAAAAGTATTTGTGATGTTATTAAACAATGATTCAAACTGTAAAGCATTTTTACACTAAAAATGCACATAATTTAAAACAGATTTAACCTATAATCTCTAACCTATAGATTTGTTTATCTTACCTTGAGTAGTAGATCAGTTCACCTTGTTTACTTTGCTTTACAATGTCCAATTTGGTATCCAGTGTAATACTCATACACTTTTTCTTCCCCTCACCATCTGCACTTGCACTCTGCTTGTCAATCATTATTGAATAATTGCAAGGATAAATCCAGATACTGTACTGTTCATAGTCGATGCTGAATGTTAAGCTCAACCGCTACTACCCACAGCGAGATAGACCACAATGGGACTGAGATACAAGTTCTGATGTTGTTTATTATATATCAACTTGGAAAAAAAGTGTGGAGCATTTTTAAATTGCATTCCTCAATAGATCATCGACATCAGTGCAAAATGATGTATAGTGTAATGACATACAGCAAGGACCCCCTGTATCTTATTGGTTTATGGGCCAATGGCCTAATAATATCCAACAACTGCAATATTTCATAGTTCATACTTATTCTATAAGATAGACATTTATAGGTGTCCAAAGTCAATCCCAGATCAGGGGCTACTTGGGACACCCATTATACAATACAGTAATTGACTGTAAAGTGCCACAAGTTACTCTAGAGCTTTCCTGAACATTTTTTTGATTGTTTTGTTTTATTGTTAAAAAATTTGACAACAAATTATCAAAAAATAAAGAGGCATCTCTAGCTCTACCTTCAGCAGCTTAATGAAAGTGTTACTTATATTTAGTATTATGAACATTATTAGCTACCTCACTAGTGTGTGGCTCTACCTTTTAGCATAATACTGTAGTGCAGACATGGGCAACCCGCGCACATAAGGGCCTGGACCATGTGTTTGTGCGGCCCGTGGAGTGATTGAGAAATTCTTTTTAATGTGGCCTGCAGTTCAGGTAGATGCAGCCAGTTTATGGTGAATAAAGCAATATTATTTAAAGAATAATCTTCACACACAATTCATTACTGTTTCATCACCTAAGAGAAAGTAACTACGAAAATGTAACAGTGAAATAAGTATAAAGTATACGGGGTAGTAAAAAATATAAATATTTTAACTTGTGTGAGTTTACGGGCCAAGTTCGGCACGGTCTGTTTGATGGATTAGCTGCTATATGGCAGTGGGTCACTTGGGAATTAACAAAGGTTGGGCAAGTCCAACTGGGGTCACGGGCGGTGGTCACACGGGGTTTAACTAATTAAGTATAGTAATTCCAGAATAACTCAAAAAACCTAAATCGCACCTCAGAAACCATAGTTGGCGAGGAATAAGCATTGAAATAATGTAATTAATATCTTGCAAGTGTCATTACAGCCACTAATTACCCTGCAATTGAATCGTGGACCATGGATTCAGAATCAGCATCTCCAAGAGTACCTGTACTGCGATTTTCAGCAAAATCCAATTTTTGGCTGAAACCGCCAATGTATATATTTATACTGTATACTGTATATTAGTTATGGTTAGTCGATTATATATCCTAAATAGCCTTAATAGATTGTAGAAAATAAAGATTAAACCTCTCCATTCCATAATATGACCGTAAGGTGGGCTGTAATGGTCACAACACTTAACAACCATGTTTGCCTGTGCTTAGCCTAGTTGGAATAGGACCTTATTTTTCTGGGTTAGGCCTTCACAACACAGTGGCTTGCTGGCTGAATATAACTCAGTAATGTTCTATGTTAACCTTTTCAAAATGTATTTGTGATCATTTCTACCCAGGAACTTAATCCTCTTAATACTTAATTCTATTTGTATACTGAAAGTCTGTTTGTTTTTTTTTGTGTTGAATGCAATTATTATATAAATTAGACTTATGAGTTAGAAAATGAAAGACAGTATTGTGAACAAATGAGAATAGGAAAAGAACATAAGAATAGGGACTGGCCCATCAGCTTCACCCACCTCTATCTTTGAGCTCCTCTCCTCTATCCAATTATTTAACCGGCTTATCCTTGAATCGATTATCATTAATTTCTGTTATTTGTTATGTTTTTTTTGTGGGTGATGGACTGACTTGCAATGTGTGTGTGTGTGTGGAGGAGAAGGAAGGGTGTGAGCCTCGTATCTTATGAGCAGGTGAAGCATGATTGGGAAATGAGCCTAAGTAGGGCATGTATATGATGTTGCACAGTTTTAAGGCTATATAATGAGCCATAATGTCGAAATAAGTAATTTGTGACTCTCGGTATCCATTGACAGAATAAGGACTGTAGAAGTGTGTTAAAGTTGCCACACAATCTTCTTTTGCAGCTGGATTCAAACATTTGAGTTATTCGTATATTCTATCATACAAATAACTCGATCTAGGTGTGCGTGATCCATGTATATGCTGATAACCACAAACGAAACAAGAAAACACGAACTTCGTGTTTTCTTGTTTCTTTTGTGGTTATCAGCATATATTCTGTCATATATATATCCTATCATATTCCTAACTAAAAAAAAATGCATGGATATGTTTTAGAAACAGAAGAAAAACCAATTTTAAAGTTATTTATCCATGGTAACGTGTTCGGGGGTAAAAGTTAACTTTACACCTTAGCTGACCTCCATTTGCCAGGTTTGTGTGTTTCTTAAGGTGGGATGAAGGATGGACCCAGTGAAGTTTCTGGTTAAGAATTTCGAGCCCTGCAGTCTGTGTGGCATATAAGCTGCGTAGAGTTGACATATAAATTAACAAAGATGTTTTTTGTGCCTGGAACATGTTTTAAGAACCGAAAATTTTGCTCCGATTAAAACAGAAAAACAGCATTACATAACCTTACAGACCAATCCAGTCCAGTGTATGCAATACTGTATACAGTACTGGTATTTAAAAGAAATTATTGTTCATCCCTGTACAGTATACTGTATATTGTACTATAATTTAATCACCTGATTATGAACCTCAATAAAGATTTTACTGTAAAAGATCTCATAAAACGGAATGAAATCAGCTACCGTCTTGATATTCTACTTGCTACCAGAGAGGCCCTTGTTGTGGTTTACTGAAGTACAGTTATGTGTGCCAAATACATGTCAAAGGATCACTTGAGGTTGCTTTATTAATTGCAGCAAACTGTTTTAAGTTATCTTTTACAGTAAAATTATTGAGCTTCATAATCAGGTGAATAAATTATAGACACCCCTCGATGTCAAATTTGAGCATACAGTATATTTAGAATGTAGATCTCACCCTCCTCCCTTTTCTTTCAGTTTTCATGATGTACTGTATATTAACATAAATATTTACACATGGAATAAAACTATGCGCTATGATTTTCCTTTAAAAAAAATTATTTTAGTCAGTGGTTACCTTTCAGTACTTACACCATAAAATAGTAAGATATATTTGCATGGAAAAATACGTAATACTGTACCAAGGAAATGTTTTGCTGTCAAGAGATCTTTGTTTGCTTATGTTGTCTAGCAGCTATCTAACATTGCATTATGGCTTTTTACTTATATAATGTCCAAAATGTCCCCAGTTCATGGTACAAATATTTTATTACAGTGTTAGTTTAGCTAATCATTCATGATACTGTATGGTATGGTATTGTATATTGCTTTTAGTTTAATTGCCTTTATAAACTGACCAGGTCTGGTACAGGAAGCCCTGAGGGTTTTTTATGAACCGGATCTTCTTAAATCAGGGACTGCCTGTACTGTACATGGTATCTGAAGTCCATGTATGATCACCCCACTAGAGACCACAACCTCAAGTTAAGGATATATTTATACAGAAAATTGTCAGAGTTAAGTTTTGGGTAGGTATAAGAGATTGAATTTTTAGACTAACCTGCCAGCGAAAGTTAGGACATCTCTGAGCTTGTGCACCTTTCAGTCTAGGCTTGTCAAAGACTGTAAATTGTTCAGGTACATTCAAGAGCTTATACATGCCTGGTACAGTACCTAGCTGTTTACCAACAGTGTGCAACAGAGAACTTACTAACCACTTCAGCAGCTGACATGCCAACAAATCACAAAGATGACAAAGTAAAGGTAATTTAATAGGATATTTAGCAAAATTTATACATAGCTCTTGTAGCTATACAGTTTATCCCAATTATTAGTACAGCAGTTGATTTTCAGATTACTTAGTAGTTTTTTCTCCACAGTATTATGACTTCACAAGCCAGATGACACCATCAAGTTCTGCTTGTGATCCTCAGATCCAGGCAGATGTGATTTCCCCACCAGTGCAGGCATCACCTGCCCCTCAGACAAATAAGCAAAACAAGGTAAAATATAGTCAGGTGAAATTGATTAATATACAACTGTTATATATTAACACTCGCTCTGTATCTTTTTTCTTTCAGATAAAATTTTCACTCTGCAACCTGTTTATTTTCTTAGTATGAAACCAACTACAGTGGTCCCTCGGTTAACGAGCACAATCCGTTCCAGCAGGTTGCTCGTTAGCCGAAAATCTCGTTAACCGAAACCATTGTTTCAATGGGTTTTTGGGTAATTGGTTCCAGCTCACCGAAAATTGCCTAAATTCAACAAAAATGGTAGAAAAGTTCACTTACTTTGAGGTGTGTATGTAGAAGGCTCTTGGATGATGATGATGATGTGAATTTGAAGTGGGAGGTGGAGGAGGAGAAGGGAGAAGAGAAGGAAGTGGAGGTGGAGGAGAGGCATTTTACTGCTTCTTGGAAGGTGAGTCACCTTCCATGAAAATGTCAGGAACCTCTGGACTGACAGATTCTCCACCATGAACATCCTCTCTCCTTCTTGAAGTGGAAGGCTGAGGGATAGCATCTTGTTCCCTCTGCCTTTTACTGTAGAAAGTGTCAATTGTGGTCTGTGGGGCATGTCCTCCTCACCATTAACTTATGTTTAAAGAAGGAGACCACTGAGTCCTCAACATGACACAAAGTTAGTTCAGTTTTTTCCACTTCTGGGTGCTTTGAAGCCAGTTCCCTGAACTTCTCCCAGTAGTAAATCACATCTTTCAACTGTTTAGCTGACATATGGTCATCACTTTCAATTTCCTCCTCACCACTGTCAGCCTCTACCTGTAACTTCTCATCCAGTTGCTTCAAGTCATCAGGAGTAAGTTCCTCCTCATGAGACATCACAAGCTCTTCCACATCCTCCTCCTCCACTTCAAGGCCCAATGACTGACCAATGGACACAATCTCCTGGTCCAACTCTGTTTCTTCCTCAAATCCCTCAAAATCATGGACTACTGATGGCCACAGTGCTTTCCATGAAGAATTGAGGGATCTAGTGGAGACTTCTTGCCATGATGACACAATCAATTTTACAGCCTCCAGGATGTTGAATTGTGTCTTCCAGAAATGTTTCAGTGTTAGTTCAGGATCAGTGGAAGTTGCCTGATGACACCTCCTAAACATTTTCTTCATGTACAACTTCTTGAAGTTGCTGATCACATTCTGGTCCATTGGCTGTATGATTGATGTAGTGTTTGGAGGCAAAAACAACACTTTCACAAAGTCAAATTGTTACTCCAAATTTCTGGCAAGGTCAGGGTCATGACCAGGAGCATTATCCATGAGGAGAAGAGCCTTTAAAGGGAGTTTATTGGTGGTTAGGTAGCTCTTGACAGAAGGGCAAAACACATCAACAGCCCATTCATTAAAGAGCTGTCTTGTCACCCATGCCTTACGGTTGGACTTCCAATAAATTCCATCAGTTTTTTAAATTCATCTAAAAACTTTGGTGCCCCTTCCTTATCAGCACTAGCAGCTTCACCATGCCTAACAACACTGAAAATGTCACTTCTTTTCTTAAATTTTTCGAACCAGCCTTTGCTGGCCTGAAAATCTTCAAATTCTGTGCCTGAAGAACCAGGTTGATCTGTCTTTAAATGTTCGTAAATCTCCCTGGCTCTTTCACAAATGAATTCAGTAGAAACTGAATCACCTTTCATCTGTTTTTCCCTAATCCAGATGATAAGTAACCTCTCAGTTTCTGCAATTAGGGATCTACTTTTAAACACTCTTGTAGATTTGTCTCTCACTTTCACTTCTTTAAATTTGTCTTTCTGTGCAAGAATTGTCGACACAGTTGATGTCGACATGCCATATTCTTTGCATAGCGCATTTGTTCTAATGCCTTGTTCATGTTTTTTTATGATTTCCTGCTTGGTTTGGATTGAAATCGCTTTTCTTGATCTCTTAGGCCCCCTGCTGGATTCAAACAATGTCAACACATGCTTTTCAAAGTTAAACTTGTTGTAAATAAAGAATATTTTCTTTAAAATAACACTGCACTTTGCTATATATTGTCAATATGTAAAATAAATTTCAAAATGACCAATAATTTGCTTGGAAACACAGAAAAAAAGCATTTAGTTGAAGAGAGTCTCAAGCAAGATGTTACCTCCAGTGAAAACAGAGAGACACTAACGCCTGTTTGCTGTGTTAAGAGGCTGGATGCCGCACATTAAACTAGTCACTTTACCTTCAATTATGTTCAATAATTGTTAAAATGACTAAAAAATTTAATATTAAACTTTTAAAATTATTGAATAGTATAAACTTCTTGATATATACTAAAATAGTAAGGAATTTAAGCCCTAGAACCGATTAATGTATTGGCGGACTAATACTACAGCTGGTTGAACCGCCCAGTGCAAGCCAAAACTTGTTGAGATCGGCTCGTAAGAAACTCGTTAACCGAGGGGTTGCTCGTTAACCGAATTTAAGAATCTTGTGGGAGGTAACTCGTTAACCGAGGGACCACTGTACATACTATGTAAAATTGATTGCTCTTTCACTTGAAACCACAAAAAAAAATAATTTCGATGATGTTAAGTCATGAATTACAGTTTTCAATACAATTAACTTTAATTTTATCCAACAAATAACCACTTAAGGACATTAAGTGTTAGATGACAATAAGGGGACATTTTTATGCTATATACTGGTGAAATAAAAAATTGATACGAGAAGTAATTAGGCTGGCAAAAAAAATTGGAATATCTTCTATTATTTTTCCCAAATTGTATACAGTACAGTAGGCTGTCACCAATAACATTTAATAGATGCCTGAAAAACACCGTTATTAGCGAAAACGTTATTTGTGTGACATTAAAATATGTACATGTAAAAAGGGTTTATTGGTGCCGCTGGCACAAGAATTTCACTCATTGTTTCCCCTTGAAGCCCTCCTAACACTTATTGTTAGCTGAAATAAAAAGAATTGCTGTTCAATCATCAAAATAAAGAGTTTGAGTAATATAACACTTAGTTTTTGAGGTGCTTGGTGTGATGATTGTTCCGTATCTGAGGGCCGCTAACACTTGCACTGTCTTTCATTCTACAAGCTAACCATTTCACAAGAAAATGCTCTGTTATCACTAACAACCTGTTTCTATCGCCTTTATCATTCATAGCTCGCCTCGCATTTCCATCACTACCGAAATATTTTTAGCCAGCACAATACTCTTCTTGGTCTCCTCTAAGTTCCTCTTAATATTTCGCACTGTAGACTCAGGACAGTTCAATTTCCTCACTTTAAAAGTTCCCAGTCATTCAGGTGGCAAATCACTCCCTCCACCACCTCCCCTAGCCCCCACAGGCAAAAATGCGGAAGCCATTATTGATCACCGACCCTAACAACCACTGGTTATAGAGGCGAAAATCTCACACGTGGGCGCAGCGCTGTATTCCACTGAGCGTGTGTGACAGTGAGAGTGAGGCGGAGTGGACAACTACGTCATCAACATGGCGGCAAACAAATGCTATCATTGATGCGCTCGGACGCTTCCCGCGAAATTTCCGTTATTCAAGAGAATCCAGACGATATTATCGAAAATGGGTATCTATTGTAACTTACCGTTATTGTCGAAAACGTTATTGTGGAAGTCGTTATTGGCGAGAGCCTACTGTACTCTACTTTTAATTTGTGTCAGTATTTTTGTACTTTTTAAAAATTCTGTTGGTTAGTATAAGTGTCTTGCTGCTTGATCCTCCTCCAGTACAGCACCCAGATTGTACAATTGGGTGGTTACCTGCACCCATGAATCAGATGACTTATGTGGAGACCCTTAAGAAACAACTTAAGACCTTTCTTATTTTGTAGGATATAATGGTGGAAAATTACAGGGTTTAGGTAGTGTTTGTATTAAAACTTAAGGGTATATGAATGATAGAAGTTGAACTGTCACTTTTTGTGATCTTTTATTGGAGTACAGTACTTCTTTTTATTTTCAAGTTTTTTACTTTGTAGTGTTTCGAGTACTAGTGAATTCTTTAGAAGAACTAGTACTTTTGAGAAACAAAAGACCAGCTATTATTATTTTTTTTATTATGGGTGGGGGGGTTCTGCCACCAGCACCCTAACTCGGGGCTTAAGGGTTAATGTTTAGTGACTCGATTTGAGTCACCATGAAGTTGGTCTTATCATGAATGTGACGTGAATTGCGTCATCATGCGCGGGAGGGTTAATGTGGTAAATTATATATTTCACAATACATTTATATTACAACATTTCTCAGTACAGTGATCCCTCGATTAACGAACACAATTCGTTCCACAGAGTCGTTCGTTAACTGAATCTATTATTTCATTGGGATATTGGGTAATTGGTTCCAACTCACAGAAAAGGTACATACAAAGTACTGTATACTGGTAATAGAATTAACAAAACATTAAATATAAACTAAATACAGTACTGTTCAATAGAATACATTATTTAACTTAATTTGAGGTGTGTACAGTATGTCGTATTACCAGCAGCTTTGTTTACATATCAAACAGCTGATTGTAGAGGCAGTCGATGATGACATGCCATATTCTTTACAGAGTGCATTGGTTCTAATGCTTTCTTCATGTTTCATATTAATTTCTGCACTTTATATTATCAATATGCTAACTAAATTTCAGAATGACCAATAATTTTAATGTGTACAGTATATGCAAAAATATTCAAGAGACCAACAAAATCGATGTTCACTCCACTGTAAACAAAGTTAAACTGAGAAGGGTTGTTGGATGATTCAATCAGCTGATGGGCACACAAAAACTGTTCCCTGTACTGTATATATTATTAATATGTTAACAATTTCAGAAAGACCAATAATTTTAATATAAAAAAAATGCAGAAATATTCAAGAGACCAACTTTCTTGATATTTACTTCACTGGAAACGAATGTAAACATAGAACCAATTACTCTATTGGTGGACTAGCCGATCAGCTGATGCGCACAACAAAACGTATTTGTCGTAAGGATTTCGTTAATCAAAGTTTTGTTTGTTAATTGAACTGAAAATCCTTATGAGAGCTAATTTGTTAACCAAAATTTTGTTAATCGAACCGTTCGTTAACCGAGGGACCACTGTACTGTACATAATTAGATTACTGGTATGTTCTTGGAAACTGAGGATCAGTCCTCTCCAGGCCCACCATATGTTCAAAAGGTTCCCAGAGAGCTTGTTGGAAATCTTGAATATTCCATGGTACATTTGTTCAAAACTAGGAAGAAAGATTCGTTGTTCACTGTACAGTACATACATAAAGTAAAAGACATTGCACCGAGGGCAAGTTTATGTAAAGTATAGTCAGTAGTGCATTAACTGCTATAATGCCATCATCATCACCATCACCACCATCACCATCATCACCATCATCACAACCACCACCACCATCATCACAACCACCACCATCATCATCACCACCACCATCATCATCATCACCACCACCATCATCATCATCACCACCACCACCACCACCACCACCACTCTATTCTTAATATATGTATGCCACAAAACAGATTTGTTAAATGTAATTACACTGTTCAGGCAGTGTCAGCATCTTGTTTCTCATATTCGTATTATCTCCAAACTCCATTCATTTCATGGTTATTACCTGATCCAATGCATGATAAAACATTTTCCTGATCCTATGCATGATAAAACATTTTCTGACTTGTCTGATCTGTGTCTCTCTTCAAGTATGGTAACTATGTAAATGTTCAGTGTAAATGAAATATTTCAAAGATGTGATCACCTTATGGTCTAAGGGTTTTAGAATGGAGGTACTGTATAGTATTTGGCAGCAAAAGCACAACTTGAAAGTTTAGTTGCACTTCAGGTGTATTAACAACCAGCAGAAAGGCCTTAGATGCCAACTTGTTTTCTCTGTTGTACTGTTCAACTTAAACAGCTAAAGCAGTGTACTTGCCAGTCTTCTGTAATGAAAGCAGTCACTCTCTCGGTTTTGTTGGAATACCAATGGATAGGCAACAAATTATTATTATTACCCTGTATTATATTTTTGCCCCCCAAGTCTCTCATGTGGGTCAGTGACCTGTGCCCAGGTGGGCTAATCTATATTGTAGATTTAAATTTATCAATACTGTATTGTAGACCCTAGATATACCAATAGCATGATTCAATACTAATGAAGTCATCATATTCATCATTTATGTTGACTGTATCAGTTGAAGTATACTGTAGTTGTTATTGAAATCATCAGTACCCAAAAGCAACTGATGGTGTTTTTGATAACATGGTATTGATTAGTTTTATTATACTGTATATAAACTTGATAAATGGGATAACATTAGCAAGCCACCTTTGAGCCTTCATTGATATTGTGTTTTTCTTAACTGGTTTTACTTTATAGGAGAAAGGTGACAAAAAATCAGAGAAGAAAGAGAAAAAGGCAGGAGGAGGAGGAGGAAAGAAACAAGAAGAAGGTCCTGTGGATGTTTCACGTTTAGACTTCAGAGTTGGGAGAATTGTGTCTGCAAAGAAGCACCCTGATGCTGATACACTCTATGTTTCTCAGGTACCTGTATGGCTTCTTTTTTTTTAATCTTCTTAATCCTTTGTGTATGGGGCCCTCTCTTTGCTGAATAAAATCATCTGATGTTAGCCAAATAAAATATCAAAAGTGGTGTCCTCATAGTGAAGGGGATAAAATATATTGTTATTAGGGAAAGAATTATACTAGGTACAATTGTGGAAATGTGTTCCTACACCCCCTCTGGTAACCTGTTTCTCCAAACGGCACCATCATAGTAGTAGTATCACTATTTATGAATGAAAGGGTATTGGTCATGTAACAACGGATGTGATTTGTGGATAGGAATGCCATAGGTTCAATACTGTAGGTTGGCTGTTTGGAGACACGGGTTACCACAGGAGGTGTAAGAACATATTTCCCCAACTGAAAATAATATATGAATTAAACTTTATTGTTTAAAGTTTATGAGTTTACATATGAAATGTACTAAATAATTTATCACATATTGTACTGCACAAAGTTGAGAGGAATGCTATGTGAAAGGACAATGGATGGAAATTGAAATTTCACTGACAAATCAAGATGGATCAGTCACAAAGAATCCAAGGTGTATGAAAAGTTTGTATAAGTCTGTTGCACTGGGCATCCCCTGATGACCAATGCTTTTTTGGCTTACACTCCCCTCCAAGCAGCTTCTCATAATACATGTTGGTAATTGGGGTGATTTGTGCCTGAACAACCCCCGGATTGTTTAGCCCTTACTGATTTGGCAAAAACTTTTAACATTTTGGTTTTGTTCAGATTCATAAATACTGTATAGATATTCCACCATCTTCATCATCACTGTTTTGCAGCCTTTTTCTGCACTTGCGTGGTTTTACTGTGATTACGGTATTTTTTTTTATCTCTGTTACATTCACACACAATCGTTCATACAGAATGTGGAAAAAAATTAATGGTTATTATAAGGTAAAAACCATTAAGAGAATAAACATTTCTTACATTCGTGGGAGTTAGTGTGCAGATCGTAGGAGGGGAAGGGGGGGTGCGGAGTCAAGAATTTTTTATTTCATCCTCCCCCTACCAGCCCAAGCTGTGAGCTGTATAGGTACAGGTTAACAATCCCTTATCCGAAATCCTTGGGGCCAGAGGCATTTCGGAATTCGGAATTTTTCGGTTTACAGAATGGTTAGTTTTTTTTTATGTGTGTGTATTAGCCCACCTGGACACAAGTCACTGACCCACATTTGGGCCTGGGGGGGGGGGGAATATAATAATAATAATAATAATAATTCTTAGGTCTAGGTCGTGTTTCTCACTTTTTATCTTTTTTTCATTCTTGTATTTCTTAATTATTATTATTTTATTATTACAGTATTATTGTTATTATTATTTTATTTGGGTGTATTTTGTATTAAATTTTTTATTTACTATGAATAATTATTATTATAATTATTATTACTATTACATATTCGCCCCCAGGCCCCGATGGGTTAATCCCTGTTTAAAAAAAAAAAATCGGTTGTCAGAGCTTTTCGGTTTTCGGAATTTCGGATAAAGGGTTGTCAACCTGTATTATTATTTTTCAAATTGTAATTTTGAGTAGATATACTGTACAGTATATTTTTATTTACTCTGTTACATGCACACACAATTGTTCATGCTGAATGTGTCAAAAAAAAAAAATAATGATGATTACTGTATATATACACAGTACTGTAGTCTAAAGGGTAAAGGGAATAATCATATCGAACGTGTACGGATCGTGGGGGGAGGAAGAGGGAGCACCATTGGGGATCTCAGCCGCTCTGGTGCCCCATGTGTAGTGAAACGTGCCATCCGGCAAAGCTGTATTTTTTCTTTTATTTTATTTTTTATTATAATTTTTATTTATTCCTCACATTTATTGGTACTGTACTACAATATACATATGACCCTAGTCCCTAATAGCCTCAAATGATGAGGAATGTATATAAAAAATATGTAATTGCAATTAACATCCAGGCTCCCAATTACTGCTGGGTAATTTTTACTCTTGTTCTGTATTGAAGAAGACGGTTTCACTAGGGTAGACTATAATATCCTGAGTGATGATGGTTACATGTTTATTTATATACTCGGACTTGAATTATGCATAGAGAAAACTATTTTTGTTAGAAAATTTTTATTTGCATTACAAAAACAGTACAGTACTTGCTCCATATAAACATCAACACCATATCTGAAACATTTATCATTTTTAACCCAAAATATTTTGACGAAATTATAATCTCAGTAGCCGTGGTACCATACCCTATTTTTTCTATAAAGTATTAAATTCATTGTTTGCAAATTCACGATTCGTGATGAAGTTTATTATCACTATATTACGAGTCGTTCCCACACACCACCTTAATCACCCCCACATCACTTTAATACTGTACAGTACTCCCCTTTCACCAGAACAATAATCATCCTACACACCACCACCATAGTTATCCACCAGTGGTCACTACATCACCTCAATATTTACTCAAATTCACATGAAAAGAAAGAAAAAAGCATTATTTCATAAGGACATTCCAAGTACAGTATTTTCTCTGGTGCTGCTTGTTTTTTTTTTGAGAAGTACAAGATATTATGTTCACTGCCTGAAGTGGTTAGCTTGGTATGACAATATTGCCATAGAATTGAAATACTGTATTTTATCTTTTTCCTTCTTAAGATCATCTATAGAATTGAAATGTTTTATCATTTTCCTTCTTAAGATCATCAATAATGGATGTACCAACACCATATTCCTCACTCAAACATTTTGCTGAGCCGTCTTTATCTAGATGTTTCAATAAATCACCTTTCTACTTACAGTAATACCTAGTGAGAAATGCTTACTCTTGGCTGAAAATGTATTAGAATCAGGTGGAACACAAGTGTTTGCACAAACTGCTCTTCTAACCTGAAGTAGCCTCAGTGGCACACGTATTTAAAATTTCTACTCATAGTTATAGTACTGGTAACAGGTTTTTGGCTCCTCCTGGATGTAGGAGGACACCAGATAATGGATCCCATATTTGTAATAAGATTTTTATTCCATTAACATATCTGATGCAGTAGTTATTTTGTAATTTATAGTATATTCCACTTTACAATTAAAGTACAGAACAGTAGCTCAATTTAAGCACCCTTACTACATTATCTACATAATATTATGTTTGGATGTACAGTACTGTATATGGCTGATTCCATTGAATGATCTTGGATCCAAACAGTGAACACTGATCCGGGGCAACACTATGTTGAAATGAGAGAAAATTTTTTTTAACAAACAGTTTACTTTTGGCATTATATTAACATAGAACTGCAGCTATGTCAAGCAACCTCTGTAATTCTAGAGAAACACAAAAGTATAGTCTCGATTTACGCAGTCAATTAAACTCGTGGAGGTCCGCGTAAAACGAGGAACGCCTAAACGAAATAACAGAACATATGGGATTAATTGAAATAGAGACTGGGCCGACCCCCCAGACTACACTTTTTCCGACACAATACGTATGTTGTAGTAAAAATAACATCTTAATTTTATGATGGTATGGACACACACACACAATATATAAGAGAATAATATTCTGTACAGGTATAAGAGAAATATCAAGGTTTTTAACACTTACGTTAGTAGAAGAGATGGCTGGGCACACGGGGATGGGGGCTGGTTCCGAGGCAGAGGGCATATTAGTGGCCCTCAGGTGAATCACCTGTATCACTATCCACCACAGAGGTTAGCAGGGCCTCCCTGACAAACCCCTCAAAGTCCATATCGTCACTGTCACTATCACTGACTTGAGCTGGCTGTGGTGGGTTGCGGGCGAAGAACTCGGTTATGTTACATTGACGGCTAGCATTGATGTGGTTGTGATACATCTGGATATACAGCTCAATAGATTGCAACAGATGGTTATTGGAGACTTCGTATCGGTGATTCACTGGGTCTTTGGAAAGGATGAGCTTGAGTTTCTCGGTCAACTCGATGGCCTCCTTTACATCACCATGTGTTAATTTCTGTTCTTGTTCTGCCGTACCACCTGCCTCCTCACTGACGTCATCATCTTCCAACAACTCGTCCGCAGTCACCTCAGGTTGCCTGATTACCCCCAGGATGTCATCGTTGGTGGTCTCGGAGAAGCCTGCAGCTCTAACACACTGTGCAGCCTCTCTTGCAATGCCCAATGCCACAGCAACAGACTGAGCCTCTCCAGCCACCGCTTGACTCTGCCTCCCACCTGGGATACCCTGCAACACATGCCGCCACGCGTGACGAATCGTTGCCACAGACAGCTGCCCCCATGCCTCTACCAAGAAATCAACAGCTTTCTTGACGTTGAACATCTTCCAAAACTGTTTGGCTCGCACTTCATGCTCCGCCATCTCTTGTTCTGGATCCTCGCTCTCGCTATCGGTGCCACTCAGAAGGTTCCGCAACTCATCCTTGGTGTTGGTGAAGTCGTTCAAGAGATTATACTTCTTTGCGGAGAAAGCAGCCTTGAAGTTACATATCAACTTCTGATCCATGGGCTGGATTAACGACGTAGTGTTGGGGGGAAGGAAGACCACTTTTACATTGGGGTGACGATCCAACAGTAGAGGCGAGTGTCCTGGTGTGTTGTCAAGGAGCAACAGAATGTTGAATGGCACATTATTTTACGCGCAGAATTTCTTCACGTCAGGACGAAACCGTCGTCAAACCAGGAGAGGGACAGACCAGTGAACATCCTCACCTTCCTTGAGGTTAGCCAGTGGACATTTAACATGCTCATGTCCATGTTTTTGTAGGTGTGCGGCTTGCGGATCACAAACAACTTGAGCTTACAGGTGCCGGAGGCATTGGCGGTGAACAGGACGGTGATGCACTCCTTCTGCAACTTCCGGCCCCTACACTTGCTGGCAGACTTGACTACGAATGTCTTGGAAAGTTATTTCTTCCAAAAGAACCCGGATTCATCCATGTTGAACACCTGGTCGTCGGTGTACTGTCCTTCCTCCATAATTTCTCATAAGAATGGAGGAAAATCCATTGCCGCAGCACGGTCAGCACTTGCTCCTTCACCAACAATTTCAACGTTCGTGATCTTGTTACGACGTTTAAACCTTTGCAGCCACCCAGCGGAAGCAGTGAAGGGTTTGGGCTCTGCAATTCCCATCTTTCTCGCCACTGATACGTACAGTTCTCTCGTGTAGTCCTGCACTGCCCGCGTGTCGACCGCCATGTTCCTTCTTGCTTGACGAATCAAGTAGCTCACCAATAAATTGTCCCTCTTGAGCAGCACCTTATTCTGACAATACTTGACCAACGAGGTACCTGCAGACTTTGTGATGCTCATGTGTTCTTTTATCTTGGCGGCATCCTTCTTGATGGTGTGGATCGTAGATTCTTTAATGCCATGCTGTCGCGCCATATCGACCTGCCTCATTCCTTTTTCTAACTCCTGAACGATTTTATATTTCACTTCGTAGCTTAAGGCGTGTCGCACCTTCTTGGGCTTGGGGCGGCTTGATCCAGGTAATTCAAGGTTTTTCTGGGGTGGTGGGGGTCCAACAGACGCAATTGTTGAACAGATTAGCGGGCACAAGAGAGAACAGTATATGCGGAGACCGAGGACAATGAGACTGGCGCACCTAAAGTCAGTGACTTATTCCCTCTGGTGGCAGGGCACGTCATATTACATTAGACCAATCACAGTTAGTGGCGGAGGGAATGCGTGGGTGGTAAGGATGCGTGGCCCAATCACAGCCAGATACGTCATATGACGTCAGCGATAATGTAAGAGCGACCTACTGCGCACCCTCCCCGCGCTGCTTCCCGCGTACGGTCAAGAATGTACAGCGTAACTAATAATTGGCACGTATGGACAGCGGGTAACTGAAACAAATATTGAGGGAAAGGGGAGATGACCGTAACACTGACCTAACCCCTGCATTTCCCCAGAATGTTTCAATAAACAAACGATGATGATGTTATGGGTTAGGTCTATTGAGGCATTGGCAGCCAGAAAAATGCTTTATCATAGGAAATTCAAAGTTGTATTCAGAAGAATATGCTGTGATGCTGAATTATTTTGATTAAAATATTGTATTTGGAGGTGAATTTGTGGGTAAATTGGTTTACCATAGTGACTGAAATGTACATGACCAGCTCTCTAATATGGTTAATTTATTTCCAGGTTGATGTTGGAGAGGAGAAGATACGCACAGTTATATCTGGACTTGTAAGACACATCCCATTGGAGGAAATGCAGAACCGCGTGGTAGTGTTACTGTGTAATCTGAAACCAGCCAATATGCGTGGCATTGCTTCTGAGGCCATGATAATGTGTGCATCTACTCCTGACAAGGTAAGTTGATGGTACGTTTGTCTTTTGGAGAGAGAGATTTTACTGTATTGCAGGAATATTTGAAATACATAAGTAATAATGAAGTTTGTTATCCCTTGTGTATGGAGTCCTTTCTGTGCTGAATAAAATTGTCTGGCATTAGCCAAGTACTGTAAAATATTAAAGTGGCATCCCTATAGTGAAGAGTTTAATAACAATGAAAGGCTTTGAGATTGGTATGAATTGAAATGTAATTATCAGGGATATTACAGGGTTAGAAATGGAGGACTGATCATATTTTCTAACAGTCTGGCCAGGTGGCTTTCATTGTTACAGTATTCCCTTAAAGCTTGCGGTTTTAAAGCTTGTGTACCTCAGAAACTCATGGATTGCCATGGAAAATAAATAAAATAAATCTGAGGCTGTGTGCCAGGGATCAAGAGGAGTCAACACTACAGGACAGTACACCATATTTCCCAGGTCATAAGATGCACCCTATAATTAGCAAGGTATTTTTTTTTGCAGATTTTATAGCCTACTGTACTGGCAAAGCCAAATCACTGGCTATATGCTATCATGTTTCTTACTACCATAGCACACTTTCATTTCATGGACCTATTTAATTGTCAAACATTTGTTAGTATTATTAATAAAATTTACCAAATTTAATATAAAAGGATATAATTATACGTATAGGTACCTACAGTATACACATTGCAATTACTTATCGGTACCAGGCACGTTCACTAGGACCTGTCCAGTACAGGTATTGTTTACATCCTGTGCACCAGATCAGCTGACGTTTCAGAGGTACAGGTTGACAACCCTTTATCCGAAATTCCGAAAACCGAAAAGCTCTGAAAACCGAAATTTTTGGGGGGAGCAATTTTTTTTTTTTTTTTTTGTATGGGTATTAGCCCACCCGGGCACATGTCACTGACCCACATCGGGGCCTGGGGGTGAAAATGTAATAGTAATAATAATTATAATAATACAGGTAATAATAATAATGATAATACAGGTACAGTAATAATAATAATTATTCATAGTAAATAAAAATTTTAATAAAAAATACACAAAAATAAAATAAGAATGATAACTCTAATAATAATAGTAATAATAACAATAATACTGTATTATGAAATAATAATAATAATAAAGAAATACAAGAATGAAAAAAAGATCAAAAGTGAGAAACATGACCTAGACCTATGAATTATTATTATTATTATTATTATTATTATTATTATTATTATTATTATTATTATTATTATTATATTTTAGTCCCCAGGCCCCAATGTGAGTCAGTGACCTGCTGTGCCCGGGTGGGCTGATCCCTGTAAAAAAAAAAAAAAAAACATTCTGAAATCCGAAAAATTCCAAAAACTGAAATGCATCTGGTCCCAAGGGTTTCGGATAAGGGATTGTCAACCTGTATTGTCTTTGCATTGTTGCTACCACAAATAACTATCACTGTGTGGACCTTATGTCCAAACAGTGTTATTTCATGTTTATTTGTTTCATATTTATTATACTGTATTGTCTAATGCATACATAATGTTATTATACATGTGCATATAGCTATTTATTTATGCATTTTGTACCGTCCTGGGACTGGCATGAAAATCTGATGGATTTTGCTTTCTCACAGGGTCCATTTTACCTAATCCCAGCGAGCTTTAAGGGAATACTGCATGTTAGCCAGTTTAGGGGGCTTGGCCATCACACCATACTGTACCCCTATTGACAATTTGGAGAGTGGAATACAAGGTTTTATTTTAGTGACAGGAGGTACCTAGTCATTGCTTTTGCCACTGTTGCAGGCTGCCATCTTTAATTTCAAGTGTATGCCTTCCAAGTTTCCAATTCACTGCCTTTCTATAATTCATTGGTCATTTAGTTCCACTCTTGGTTATAAAATTGAATTTCTGAATTAGTTCCTCATTTCTGAGCAACTGATAATTACTTCCTATGGTTTATTTTCTGCAGAAATGGTAGTGCAGTGATATTAATCCCTGAAAGTCATTTTATTGATTTCATCATCATCATCATTTACTGGTGTAAAATTCTTTATGATTGAAGTAGTAGTAGTGAAATAAACTTAATTTGCATGTTTCAAGTGTAAATGATGTTATTATTTTGAATGTGAATATGTACACCCAGCAAAAAATGTATCATGACCCTTGCTGTACTTTACCTTCTGGACCACAGGATGAAGTATTTTGACTTATTCCCTGGGTATGTGTTGGGATGCCTGCTCTCTTTACCAGATAATTCTTTATGTTGGGTGTACAAGTCATTTAGTGGCTTGCCTTGGATGATTCGTTTCTGTGTCTGCCTTCCATTTCATTTGGATGATTGTTGGAGAATGAATTGTCTGCAACTTACATACCACTTGTTTCGATTGCATAATAAAGAGTCAAATACATATCGAATCCCATGAAACGAAACTATAATTTATTCTCAAGATCCTCTAACTAAAGGAGATATAGATATCCATAAGGATATAAGGATAAGGCTTTGAATTAAATTGATATAACCAAAGGATAGAAGAGAAATACCACATAATCTCCTAATTATTTCCATCAGCCATTTTGCTAAGTGTTGGTTTTCTCTCATAAATACTGTACATATTATCTGGGAAATGGCAACCGTTCTGTAAAGGTCTCAATAATCCTTTCCTACTGTATGCTATAAATGACACCGTAATCATATATCATTAAAGAACTACAGTACAGAGCACTTGACTGTTTATTTCATTGCAAATATTAGGCTTAGTACTTACTGTATTACTTCAGTACTGTAGTCTAAATCACAGAATACTGCACAATAAAGGAGATTAGGTCTATACTGTATAGTCAAGTGGTACTAACCAAACATTTGTGGCCTGTATGTACTTGTCATTCCAATTTTCATTGGACCAGAGGGTCGCGATACCTTTTTTGATGGGTACACCTACCTTTTAAAGCATATAGTTTTGTATAAATACTCTCAGTAGCAGAAGATGTGAAGTGTATGGGAGATGGTTTGGGTAGAAGCATGTGGCTTTGTGTGTGTGGGATTGTACAGTACATTTTCAAGTCACCACACCTAGCTGCAGCCCACCATGCCATGTTACTTGTGGCATTCTATGTAATTTTTTGAGATACAAGGTAGTTAAGTCAGCTCAAAGTTATTCATATTTACATCACACTACTGATAGACAAGCACTCCTCTGTGTTGCATGTTTACTTTTGGTCCACTTTATTTTTCTGGTATTTAGTACAGTACTGTAGCTGTACTTTATGGATTACTTTAACCAGATTTAGCATGTCAGTTCACTATGTACCAATTGCACCATTCATGGAATTTATCCACATTTTCAGCATCACTTTCCTTGTTGCCTGAATGTTTTTCTCTATAGGATAAAGTCTCTCTTGTTTTTAGATGTCCCAGTGGACTTATGGTATTACTGTTTTGTGGTGTCATTATATTGTCCTACTTTCCTAGTCACTGAAATTTCTTTTGTATTAGGTGGAGATATTGGCACCACCAGCAGGTAGCCAACCAGGTGACCTTATAGAGTTTGAAGGATACACTCGGAACCCTGATGCCGTCCTCAATCCAAAGAAGAAAATATTTGAAACTTGTGCCCCTGACTTGAAGACTGATGCTAACAAAGTAGCCATGTACAAGGGCATTCCATTTACTGTTCCTGGTAAAGGTATTGTTTTATCACAAACTATGTCAAATGTCCAAATAAAGTAAATATAAAATAATACATTTCTTTAAAGGGTTAACTTATATTTCTTTTCCTAACACTGGGGTAAATGCATTGCTTTTTCAAGATTGTTTTGTACAACTTAGTCCAGTTTTATGAATACAAATTTGATACTTCAAACACAGCAATGGTAGGACAGTATTTTGGATTGTTGACCCAGAAATTTGTTGTATGTTTATAGGTGAGCTTGTTATAAATAAATTTCCATATCTTCCTGTATATATAGATGATTTTTTTCACCTTATGAAATTGTAGTGAAGACCGTCTACAAGAATGCAAGTGTGTCACATAAATCAAGGGATTACTGTACACACATTACTGTATACACATGTAATTGGCCACCTGGTGGTACTGGAAAATATCCCTGATACAGTAATCTTCCGATAAATTGTAATCCCTGAAACTCTCCAATAGCTGGAGTGGAAATCAGGCCTGAAAATTTTCTAGGAAAAATCTCTCCATTCCGTGTCTGCGACCAAGTTTCCAAGGATGAAAATCAGCATATTTTCCGGAAAACTTACTAAAAAATCTCTCCATACCTCTCTCTCTTTCTCTCTGTTATAAAACACTGACATGAAAAATAAAAAAACCAGAAGTAGCAGTTTAAGATTCACAGGCTGAAAAAAATTTTGCCAAGATATGAATGGGGAAGAGGATAATGAGTCACTAATGCCCAATTTCTATGATAATACCCAGCCTTTTCTAAGAGGAAGGGTAAATGCATCATCTTCATTTTACGACCATTCTCCACACTTGCGTGGATTAGCCTTGATTACCTGGTGGTAGTTCTCCAAGCTGTACAGTCTCTTGCAGTCTCTCTTGTCAGGTTGTTAACTCGAAATGTAATACAGTTGGGTCTCACATTACGCGGTTAATGTAACCCGGAGGGTACCGTGGAAAGTGAGGAACGCGTAAAGTAAACAACATAACATATGGGATTAATTGAAATGGAGTCCAGGCCGATCCCCAAACTCCACTTTTTGACGACACACAACTATGTTGTAGTAAAAATATTATCTTAACTTTATGATGGCATGCACACACAATAAATAATTAAGAGAAATATCAATAATATTAGGTTTTTTAACACTTACATTAGTAGAAAAGATGGCTGGGCACACGGGGATGGGGGGTTGGTTCCGAGGCAGAGGGCAGATTATTGGCCCTCACCTGTATCACTGGTATCAATTGTATCACTATCCACCACAGAGGCTTGCAGGGCCTCTTTGTTAAACCCCTCAAAGTCCATATAAGTCCATATCCTCAATATAATTATCACTATCACTGACTTGGGCCGGTTGTGGTGGGTGGCGGGTAAAGAACTCGGTAATGTTTTGATGACTGGGCGACCTTGTGCGCACCATTTTCGCGCCTCTTACACAACATGGCGGATGGCGGGAGGTTTGGATCCAAAAATGGCGCGGCTTGCCAGCCGCTCTCCGCGTAATGGGGTTCACGACCGCGGAATGTGAGCATGTTAGGTTCTGGCAAGGCACCGCTTTAACGGTGAAACGCGGAATGCGGGACCGCGTAATGTGAGGATTGACTGTATACAACCTCTCCCTTTGTCATTCCTGGTCTACCCTTGGCTCTCCTCCGTCCTTTCTATTCACATGCCCAAACAATCTGTTTTTCAGTGTCAAACTTGTTATGTCATCTTCTTAACTGCCTGTACACTTCCATACAATACATCACACTTCTCACACCAGCTGCATACATCTTTCCTTTCATGCTGTCATCAATAAAGGCGGCAACTCCCTAAACTTTCTCCAGCCAATTGTGACTCTTGCTTATGCAAGTCACCCAGGTAACAGAACTCATCAACACAGTCCAAGGATATACCCCAATTTTAAGTTTCTCCAGCCTTCTTGTGGGCACAAGGTTACTCACACATACAGAACTCGTAAAAGTCTGCAACATCCTGAAGTTTGCTCCACCATACCTCTTGTGTACAGCACCCACCTTTCACATGCATGGCACACTATTTGCTATCAACACCTTTCTTACAGACAGCACATGGCCATTTTCCAGTTTTTACCACAGGTACCTCATCGATCACTAATCAATAATGGTTTTGCTACATTCACTCTGACCAATTTCTCTCTCATCTTTCCATTCCTTAAAATTTTCCACCGCCACTTCATTACTATCTACTATCAGTGTACAAGGAAGGACACACTGGATGTCATTTATAACATTGTGACTTCTAGGGTGTAAATGTTTAGTGAAAATAATTATAACTACATAAAACCTCGATAATTCTGATTTCATTATATCGGAATTCGCTTCTTTTGGACCGAGATGCTCTGGTCACCAGAAATACAAAAAAAAAAAAAAATACTGTTTTAAGAAATGGGAAAGATTAATAAAAAAAATCTTATGAAATGAACAACACTTACTGAATACTGTACAGTAGTCTAATCAGATTTGCTTTAGGCCTACTGAGAACTAAGACACTTGAGTACTGTATGTAAGCGGGCTGGGGCTGATAAGGTGTTGCTGTATTCGTCAGGTTTATTTATTGATTGATTCAGTATATTCTCATATGGTTTATGGTTCATCATGATTAATATAACATCTTTTGTAATAGAGGAAAATTACAATACTGTATGTAATTTGTAATATGACTTGAAAATAAAAAGATAAGCTGTATCAGAAGGTTATTTCCTCAAGATGCGTTCGTGTGAGAGCTTTCACCAAATGACCAGCTTACTACAGGAGTCACTATAACAAACTGTATAGTATTTGATATAAAGATACCTTTCTAAAAATGTTATTTACTACAGTACCTTTGAGTGTTATATGATGGCTCAATTTGGCTACTTGTACACTTAAACAAATGATTAATGAATAAACCAGGGTATATGTAGATGCATAATACTGTACACTACAATATTACTGAAGTGATAAATACACAACTGTACTGTACTAATTTACTAAGTGTTGAAGACAGATATTGTAGTAAGCCAAACTGATTATCTGCTCTTCGTAAACAAATGACTCAGTTCAGTGTGGAATTCTTTTAAGATAATATTTTACCATCCTGATGCCAAATGATCCTAAATTGTAAGAGAATTATGGTGAAATTGCAAAAAGAAGTGTGAAAGGAATCTTGTGGGAGAGCCACCCATCCCAGATAAACAATCGTCTTCCACATACAATATACTCCTACACTTATGTTCTTATTTTTATCTTTATAGTACGTAGTCTACAGTTTTCTCTTTATTCAGAAGACAAATTCTGTGGTTACTTACATATAACCCTTTACAGTAAATAACAATCATCTCGGTGACAGTATGTATGATTTTCAACCCAGAAAAATCCATTTCATATTTTTTTATTGTTGATGCAATATATTTTTAATAACCTAGTTAAACACTTAAAGACCTTAGTTGTTGAAGTGCAGTAATACCATAACATAAACCAATTTTCTTTAAACGATTCAGATAAGCAATGTTATCTCCAAACCCTCCCCCCCCCCCCATATAGTTGCATTTTTCGGACTGGGGTCTGCCCCAATTAGTCTGATTTATCGAGGTTCTACTGAACTTTTAATGGGAATAAAACAATCACATTATACAACATTTTGACCTTTAATACATTCATAACTACATTCAAAACATTCACCTGAGGGCTTTTCTAAATAAAAATTAGGTATAGTAATAATATACAGGGGCTGTTTTTGGCAAACAAGCTTTTTTTTTCAACCATGGAAAAATGTTAAATTTCATGTACTAATCAATAATGCAATGTTATGTAAACAATTTATTTGGACTGTAATTATCATTAAACTATTCACATCCTGAGCAAAGCCAGAAAGTATTTACTTCTTGTTCCACTCTTCCATTTCCTTCCTCTCCTTGATTACCTCACTGAGGTATGGCTGCAGATAACGTCCCTTCTCACGGTCCTGTAGATAAGATACGTTTTTATTATAAATACTGTATGAAATATGGTGACATGAATTGGGTCAGCAGATGTGTGATTTTAATTCTAACTGTGCTGTGATCAACATGATATGGTAGACAACTTGATCAAATTGACTCTTAAAATAGTTGATAATTTGCTTTAGCTTAAATTATAAAAGCTAATGACAGTACCTTTGGGGTCAAGACCAAATGATTTGGAAGATTTTCCATTATCCTGGGTCTTAACTCGTCTAACTGTGACCCCAGGCCTACCAGTAGACTATATCAAATTTGCTTTTACACTCATACGAACTCGGTTGAATAATTTGTTTTACTTCTTAAACAAAATGAAAACATTATTGTATGCACACTGAACTCCAAATGAAGAGAATCACTAATATAGTATTTTCAGAAGTTGAGAGTTACTTAGGAAGGTTTACATAGCACTGTATCTTGGGTTCATTTACTTCTGACTTATGGCAACTTCTCGTGTCCAGACATTTGCAATAAGTAGAGTTCATAAATACAGGGGTAATTATTGTCTGATTGATAAATACCCTAATGCTGTACCTTGATCATCTTTTATTATATTTATTTGTATATAATATTATTCTGTTCACGTAGTTTTTAAAATTAATATTGGTCAAACCGAACAAAAAATTTGAGGTAACTTATGCCAGATACTTCCTGTTGTCACATAATATCATGCAGCAAGATTTTAAAAGACTGATGGTTCCTTATCTACTGCTTTCTTGAAAAGAATGGTGGGTTGGTATTAATTGTTTTGTAAAATTGATAGCAAAACAAAGTATAAAAGCATACAGTATAAGGAATATATGAGGTGTTTCCAGGATGAACGATGAAACAAGAATTTTTCTGAAAATCCGTTTTCCACGGTCTTGTGTAGCCACATCATGTTCTACCATGTGAGACTCAAAGACAGGAATTTTTCATTTTTTCCCCAGTAGCAAGACTTGGTGGGGGAGGGGGTTGGGATTCATAGAATGTCAACTTTAGTCTCGCACGGAGTGTGCGGCTAATTCCAATGGGTGTCATGCTCACACCCTCTATTCTGTGTTGTGAAGTTTATGCAGGGATTTACCCTTTTTATACCATAATTAGTGTAGAACATGAGTTCTTTTGGCAGTGATAGTGATATTTTGTTATATTTTTCATGTGCTTTTATCATTAATATTAATGATATTTATTTCATATTTTATTTTTTAGTACAAGTGATATCTCCGTTAGCTGGAACAATTGGTACAGAGCACTTCCGGGAATGAGAGATTTCCAGGTAACGAGACAACTCTCTTGAAGCCAGAAAAAATCCCTCATCCCCAGAATTTTCCAGGTACTGAGAAAATGTTCTTGGAATTTTCCAGAAAATATGCCCCTCTGAAAATCAGAACCAGATGGAATTTTCTGGAAAATTCTGGCTTTAGGAACGACTTTCCGAGAAAATTTCAATTCCAGCTATTGGAAAGTTCCAAGTTTGAGGGATTCTGGATAATGGGGATATTACTAAGTAGTTATCACTATTAGCAACCAGGCATATTATGGAATGTTATAAATTTTTCTCATATATATTCATAATGTATTGCCCCAACTATAAAATAAGACATAAATGATTAAAAATTATAGATTTTCTTGAGTTATGGACTACAAATTGAAGAAAAAATCAAATGCATTTTCCCAAAACTTTGCTTTCATACACTTGCCCCTTTTTCCTGGTAATGACTCATATAATAATGTACACTCACGCACCATAGTTTCGATGCACCCTCTACCCCTGACTCGATGGAAGTCGTAGCCTTGGCTTCATACCAAACGTCCCCCCCCCCTCCATTGTTCAGTGGTACAATGTGGTAGCTCGAAGCTTCACTGTATTGTACGAATAGCAGTTCATGATTTGAGAGAATATATGCACGATACAGGTTTTTTAGTGACAACACTATTTACCATCACTATACAAGAGGGACCGTTCGGTTTGCAGCCCTGACTACAACTTCCCTCGAGCCAAGAGTAGGGGTAGAGGGTGCATCGAAACTATGGCGCGTGAGTGTACCTGTACGGTTTTACTATTTAATTCACAAAACAATATTCTTTTCAAGATACAGTGCTCTATAAGGCTATTTATTCAATCACATAATTATTTATGAATTTTCTACTTCTTGCAAACATTTCCACACACAAGAAACTACTGAATCACATGTAAACAAATCCAAGATAGTGCAATTAGGTCTACCTAGGCAACTCTTAACTTCTAAAACCACTATTTTTTTTTAAGTATTTCTTAATTTTGTCATTTAAGAAACAAAAGAAATGTTTTAATGAGTTGTGTGAAAACAAAACATAGCTAGGGAAGAAAATTTGACCTTATCAAGGTAAGAAAATGTCTGTTTTCTGAGATCCTGTACTGTACTTACTTCCTCATAGCTAATCCACTGATCTTTAGGGAGAATGCTCTTCGTCAGGGAAAGCTGGAGTGCTCGCTGTGCTCTAAAATTGCGTTCGTCCAATACACTCTGAGGTACACGGCGCAGTGCCTCCTGGATATCTGCTGTCTCATACAAACAGTCATCATGGTACAATCCTGTATAGATTAAATCTCAATTAGTTATGAAAAATCCCCAAGCAATTAATGTATTGATCTTGAAATACTATTTTTTGGGGCAGAGTATGGAGCTAGCTAGAAGCATTCTCATAATACAGGCTCCATATTTGGGGGGTTCTATGGCCTCAGACAATGATTAATTAGATCACCTGGGGTTGGTTTATTAACCCATTTGAGCAAACCATTCATCCTTCCCTCCTAATGCTCCCACAATGCGAGAAATATGATACAAGTACTACCTGTCCTTTGGAGATAGATCTTTTATAAGTTGTCTGCCAACTAGCTCACTTTATCCCAAAGCCACTTTGAAATTAGTTCTAATTGAATAAACCACAAATCCTAGAAAGGGGAGGGGGCCAGTTTAACCTACTTGGCTATGGGTTGTCAGAAATGGAGTTTCCATTTCTAGTCTATGTCTTTTGTCAGATGGCATGTCATAATCAAAAGCCAGCTACACAAGATCAAGAGTGTACTATATAACGTACTGTAATCCCTTCCTGTAAAATCACTTAACATCCAGGCAGATACCAGTAACAATTATAGCCCTATATCAGACCACTTAGTCTCCTATTAGACGACTCATGTGAAACTGCCTCTGATGCAAGAATTAAGTACATAACATGCAGGCTAACAAGAAGGGGGAGAATCCATAAAGTACAGAAAGGGAAATCCAGATGTTCCCTCACCACATCCAAAAGCTTTACAAAACTGTCATCATACTGAAAACTAACCTACACTCACTGAAAAACCACAGTAGTACAGAAACTAAGTAACCCTGGAATATCCAAAACCCCACACACACACAGTCCCTGATTTATGAAAATCCAGTATACAAGACAAATAGTTTTGTCTCATGTTTTAATTTCCGTGTGAAAAGACTACAGTACTGTAGATATATTTTTTCCTGCAGCATCAGAAGATGTGGAAGCACTGACACAGGTATATCGGGGCTTCTCATACTGGGCCTGGTCAGTTTATAAAGACAGTTTAACTAAAAATAACATTCAGAACTAAGCTGTATAAAAGTGGTAAATTAAGCTAAAAATAAACTCCCTTTAAATCAGACTTATGCAAGTCAGAAAACCCCATAAGTCAGACAACCTCCAGCTTAGATGGGGTCACATGGGGTGGAAGTTTGGCAGTGTCAGTTCCCATGCGTTTGTTGTCGCGATCGTTGCTTTGCCGCATACATTATGTTTTGTTTGTATTTGGTGTTTCCCGGGTGTATTATTATGGCCTCTAAAGCATGTAAAGACAAAATAACACCACTAGGAGAAAAGGAATGCTGCTCAGAACTCTACCAATTGAAGAGTAAAGATATGTGGCAGAATCGATGCTGGGGTCTCCACCAGCTAACTTTAAATGCATACTAATTATACGCCAGTAAGTGTAAATGAATAATGTATAAAGTGTAATCAAATGTAAGTGCAAATATACATACTGTAAGTGTATGCAGCCATCCATCAACCACCACCTCAAGATTCATCTGCTACAATAAAAGTAAGTACTGTACGTAGTGTAAATGCATACTTTTAAATTTTGTTTTTGACAGCGGATAGTTTGCTATATAGAGATTAGTAAGGGGTGAAACCTCTAAATAATGGATTATATGGAAGAGGATATAAAGCATCCCTACTCAACTTCTGAAAAGTACTAAAGTGCAAGGCCAATGTAGTTTGATCAAGAAAATCCATTTCTTAATAAACCTTGTGAAGAGTGACAGCAGAACACTGTATGTACACACAAGCTTTTAAGGGTTTCCCAAAAGGCATCGGGGTCATATCTGGTGTATGCTACTTCAGACTTGTGCCACTAAAAAATAAGAAACTGCTCTGCTCCTTCAGACATGAGTCACAAAAAAAAAGAAACTGCTCCCCCTTACTTCTTTTCCCACGACCTCCATAAAAATGAGAGGCACTAGCAGATCCTTCACATTAATATGAAACCTTAAGAGTAATGGAAACCCTGTCCTTGATTGGACACATCTGTCCAAATGAACAAATCTCACTTAAAAAAGTATCGATGACTAAAAAAAGACAAATGTCACTTAAAATCTATTAATGAAGCACCATTTTCAACTTCATATGACTTCAACAGGTTTATCCTATATCTCACCTGTCATGACTTATTAATACTCCAAGGTGCTAACTGGTGAAAATTACAGGAGCAGAAAAAACATTTTCACACCAAATCCTCAAACTGGATACTTTCCTAAGGGACAAGAAAATGTGTACTTCATAAAAAATCAGTAAATATTTTCAGTTGGAAGACCAACTGACCCATCTCTAGCATCCCATTAGTCCTAGTTACTAATAATACAGTACAGTACTAAAGTGGCTAGGAGAAACCCTTTATTTCTCCCAGTGTGATGGAGAGGGAAGGCTACAGTTTATCCAAATGGTTTAATAAATCAATCCTGGCCAGCATAATGAGGGTTTACCCAAGGGCAGAGAAACCCTAACTGCAGCCATAAATGATGAAACTGTTGGCTAAAAGTATGATCAAAAGCTAATACTGTATCTTAATTATCTCCATTTTCACATACCTTTTCCTGTTATCATGCATTGATGCTTGACAGGTGTTTATTAGAGTAGGAATTCCAGCTGGATATTGGCATCTATCCAGTATATGGCTAGATATTCATTTATGTCAGGATGGATACTTGTCCTATCCAATAAGATAGCTGGGTATTAATTAAGGAGACTGGATAACATTAAAAAAAATAAAGTATTAAATATTGCATAGACTGTAGTAAAAAAAAAAGTGACAAGGGGAAAGAAGTATGCAAACTAGCCAAAGTTGAGAGAAGAAAAATATAAGGAAGGTCAGTCAACTGCAGTTTCATGTTTTAACTGTAAAGTCTTGATGTGAGGATGGGTGGCAGTGGTAGTCAAAGTCACAAAATAGTCTCCAAATGGTTAGCATGTCTTTAGCAGTTTGCACTTGTATTTCAAATTGTATTTCTGGTATAACAATGAATGTTTAATAACATAGCAGCAAATGATGTAGTGGGGCTATTATGCTAAATCTTTCACTCTTTCTAATAAATAAATGTTGCACACACACACAAACTTCTACAATTCAAAAATTTCAAATGCTTTACTGTACCTCATACCCTAATTAAATTTTTTTTCTGATTCAAAGCAAAAACTTATGAAATAGGTTGAATTTCACAACCTATACTGCACTGCCCCAGACCCATTTCTACCACTGATTCATCAGTTATTCCTTACATCTTGCCCGAAAGGAGCATTTTTCCAACATGTCTTTCTGAGACTTTATAACCTTCATGTCTTCAAATACAGTACATATAGGACACACAAAGACCAAATAACAATACAGTATTGTGCATTAATATTTCTGCTTTTAAAAGGTGCAGGGAAAGCTACCCTTGAGCATACCTAGTGCTAACTGAGCAAAACTGTGTGTCATCAAAGTTCTGTGCAATTCTCTTGCTACGGTACTTTTAAGCATTTAACCCTCTCTCGCTATTGTTGCACCTTAGAATTTAATTCTGGCTATTGCCAGGCAACTTTATTCAGCTTAGAGAAACCCCTAGGAGCCAAAGGGTTAAAAAAGGATACCAACCAAACTTCTACTCTTATGATGGAGTATAAAAACAAGAGAGACCTTTGATGGTAACTTACCCATCTGGTTGAAGGCTGAAGCTCTGAAGATAAACCGCTTCAATGAGTTATTGAATTGAGCTGTGAAAAAAAAATATATATATATATATACGTACCTGTATAGTATTTGTATGTATATACAGTATATATACTGTATTAACACAATATCAAAAGACAAAAAAGCATAAAGCTGAACAAATAATCCTCTCACATATAATGCAGGGGTGGATCCAGGGGAGTGGGGTCCCAGGGGTCTGGACCCCCCCCCCCCTCCTTTCATCAAAAAATTCCAATACTTTGTCTTTAATGCAGTATTATACTCAGGTGTTTTTGTATAGTAAAAAGTAAATACCATTCACTTCACAATATCTCCTAACATCAAGTGCACATGGCTTCAAAATGCTCATGATATTGGTCAGATTTAAAAAATAAAGAAATTCAAAATATATAAAAATAAATAAGAAAAGGGGGGGAGGAGGGGGCTTAAAGTGCCCCCCCAGCTGGGTGGCTCACTTTACTCGCCATGTTCCCCCACCCACAAATTCTTGGACCACCCCTTTTGATATTCCTGGATCTGCCCCTGTACTGTACCATAATCAGCAAGGTAATCTTCTCACATAACAAATTATAGCAGCAAAGTAACCCTTTCACATAAATCATCAGGAATTTTCTAAGGTTCAAAGGTCTGTAACTGTTAAATATCATTAAAATCCACCAACTTGTGAACTCATCCAAAGGCACAATGGTAAATACTGTAGTATTACTTGGAATATAATTAAATTCATCACATTTGGTAAAGTTACTGCACAAGCACTGTACTGGTTCTCTTAAAAACAACAGTACAGGCATGCCATTGAAAAAAATATTGTATAGGAATAATGATTTGGTCTCCATATACAAGTGAAAACCATATACTGTACAGTGGTTTATATAAAAAATAATATAATATGCAATTATCAAAATATAAATGAATAAATTGATAACATAAATAATAATAAAACAGTACTGTACCTGTAAAATAAAATACCTGCACTGTACTGTACTATACAGTATACAATAAACCCTTGCTATTTGTGATTCGTGATTTTGACTACGCAGTATGCAGATGGTGGGTGGCTCGCTCACGAGCCTCTCCTGCAGCGCAACAATTCACCCCCACAACATCTCCTCTCCCTTTGTTTGCACTCAACCATTGCCTGCAATGCAGCATCTCTTGTGTTGTACACAAAACTTTAGTGTTTCTGTGTGAAATGGCCCCTAAAAGACTGCCTGGTGTCAGTGCTAGTGAAGTAAAACATTTAGAGACCTCAAAGCCAAGAGGAAACAACTACCTATTACGATGTTTTTCGAGAAAGAACCAGCCGCTTGCCCAGCTGATTCATCTCCCTCACCTACTCGGTCAGCTGCTGCTACCGCTCCACCACCAGCGCTACTCCAACAACCACCACTGCATCACCCTCTTCCAACAGTGATCCTGATGATCTCCCTATGCTTCAGTAACCAGATTTCATCCTACTGTACAGTACACTTCATCAAGCTCCAAACTTCCACATACGAAGGAGAGTAGTATTGGTGACTTAAGTTTCTCATTCACAGTACTGTATAGGTAAACAGTAGTACACTAAGGTAGTATAAGTTGCTATTCACAGTTTTGCCAATTCAGGCCATTCCTTGGAACCTAACCCCCACAAATAGTAAGGGTTTACTGAATACATTAATCAAATAAAATAATCATCTACTGTTAATGGTTACGACAGAAAATTTAAAAAATTCCACCATATAAATGATCAGAGGAAAGTAACAACACTACGCCAAACAAAGCAGATGCATTATGGAAGGATGCTTGTACAATATGCCCACATAGTGTTCATTTTCCTGCATTCAAGAGTCCAAATTCCTGTTTCAGTGATCAATGGAGGTATATTTGAAAAGGCTGTCTTTGTATGAACAGATCATTATACAAAAGATTGAAACATGGCCACAAATTACAGCTGCCAGATGTTTGGAAAACAAGGATTGCCTGAATAAATACTGTAATGTACTGTATTGTATTATAAAGTAGAAATGAGAGTTTGACCCAGAAAACCTATTTCAGAGCAAAGTCTGTGGTCCCTAACCTGTAGTTCGAGGGGGCCATGGCGCCCCCAGAACCATATTATGGAGCCAGCAAGTGTTCATTAGAAAAAATTGAATTATTTGGGATTCTTTGTAAGAGTGAAATAATGAAAATATGTAAAAACTTGATACAACTGTTGTGTACAGGACGTTTGTATTTACCCCAACCCAGGCCCAGAGAGAGAGCCAACCTTCTCACTGGGGGGTAACTACTGTACAGATGTCCTGTCCAAGAGTAAATGTAAAAGTATGGAACTGGTAACAGTTAGATGTGTAAAACTGCAAATAACTGAACAGTAGATATGATATTTTAATTTTCTTGAATGTAGTTCCACTATATTTACAATGATAAATGTGACCAAGAGCCTACAAAAGGTTGGGGACCACTGCTAGGCCATAGCAACTGGTGGCAAGCTTAAGTTCCCTAACTGCTCAGTAAAACTAATGTTCAAGAAGAGATTAAAATTAATGCTATGCCCTAAAATCCTGCAAGTGTGACAGTCATGAACCATGTAGCTTATCTTCTCTACTGCAGATCACCCATCATTTTAAAGGTGTAAACCAGGTTTGCAACGACAACACCACACCAGCTAACCTCCAAGGATATCCCTGGAAGGCAGGTGGGATCCAGACTACTCCTCAATGATTCTTGTTATTTCTTCGGTTATGCAGTAGACAAGTTCTCTTAAGCACTGTAGGCAAGTACAGGCAGATGTATAACAGCCTCATCTTACATAATTTTACTTAATGGACAAAAACAAAATATTCATTGAATAAATACTACAGGTATATAATATCACATGCTGTACCATTGAAAAAACAATAATGAATTAAATCCATCCAATGTACAGCCAACAAAAGACTTTTCTGCACCTTTACAATTAAACATTATGACAAGGCCCCAAGAATTCTGAACAACACTCATTTACTAGGGTGATCCTGTTAATTTTTTTTTCTTAACTATACATGATCTACAGAATACAGTACATCATATTGGTTACACAATGTATCACACAATCAGAAGTACCAACCTTACCAAGTGACTGAAATGAACATAGCCTCAGTCAGTGATCGTTGTAAAGGCCGTCAGACCCAGGGATGCATGTGTTAATTAGAATTTCATGCCTGTCATGTTTGGAAAATGGCCTGGAGTGAGTGTGTTCAAAAAGCAACCAAGGAGACCAGAAAAGTCATTAGCATGGATATGTAAATGTAAGTGATACAGAAGGAGTGAGGCAGGGGTGGTAAGCAACGTGGCAAACTGACAAAATTAACATATTAAATTTATCCTTCTCTGTTTTTTATGCTAATAACATCTTAATTTATCTTTAAAAGGTCACACTAACATCTACTGAGCCATTACTGTCACCACCCACATGCGTCAATGTAAAGAAAGGAGTGCTAGTGTCGTCGAAGCTCGGAAAATCACAATTATTACATATACGAAAAGGGTAAAATTTTAAACAATTCTAAGACTCTTCTTCTATAGCGTTTTCGTTGGAAATTTATATTTTTGAGTATTTTAATTGATAAAATAACCAAAAATATTGCTTGTTTAAAGAGGACAGGGCTTTGAAGTAGAAGAAAAATGGGGTAAAATACTATAGTGTGAGTGTGAGTGTGTGTGTGTGTGATATATAAACACAAAACAAACTTTTGAAAACCTGACCTAACATTTCCTCACCTTTAAAAATCCTAAAACTTTTAAAAAGTTTACCTTATCATGTTTTCGGTGTTTAGAAGGTGATGGTGTTGTTTTTGGCTTTAATGTGTGTTTATGTTGTTTTCGGTGTTCAGAGGAGGGATCCACAAACTCTTAAGTGATTCTTAATATCTTTACAAGTTAGGAATGTTAGGTAAAGTTTTCAAAGTTTTGTTAGGTGTTATTTTTAGTATTTTACCCCACATTTTCCCTCTACTTCAAAGCCCTGCCCACTTCAAACAAATAATATTGTTGGTAACTTTATCGGCTAAAATACTAAAAAAAAATCTAAATTTCCGACCAATACACTATAGAAGAGTGTCTTAGAATTGTCTAAACTACCGATTCCAAAACTAAATATCCTAAAATTCGTTACATGACCAAAACGATAATAATACTGTCCCATGAAGAACTGATTTCCTCATCCACGTGTGCTTCTCATGAGGAAACAACACATTTATCTTATAAGGAGAAATGTCTTCAAGTTGCTGGCTCAGATACACAACAGTTAACAAATACCATACCTCACTCAGATCAATTAGCTACAATTTCACTTTAAGATTGGTAAAACTTTAGTTCTGGTCATCCCTGTAGTATATAGATATCCAAGCCATGTGATTTCTGACAGATATGAAGGTCCAAACCATTCAAAATACACCAAAAACCACCGGAAAAACATAGTTTGGATATCTAACCTGACCTAATTCTTAAGATTCCCCGGATGACCGAAACTAAAATAAAACCCACAGTATTACCATATATCAAGGGTAAATTGAAGGTAAAATTTTAGTTTCATACAACCATGGAATCTGGGATTTTTAACACATGCAATCGATATATTTCATCATTCTACACACTTCTGGGTTAATATTGACGAGTGACCCGCGGATGAGTTATTTGTTTTACTGTTTATTTTCTTACTTTATTTTCATCGGTGAGTTCTGATATGATCATAATTTCTTGTGCAAATGCTTCGTTTTGTAGATAATCAGGTGCCTAAGAGAGCAAAACTTTATCTTCCCGGCGGCAATGCGGCCACACTCGTCTCCCATTCCCGCACCAGTTTCATTTTCAGCATGGCATGTGAAGGTTGTTGCCGGTCTTGTGCTACAGTTCTAGTGCTTATAAAGGAACTTGGATTGAAAATGCTAAGATTAAACCCAGTACGTATTGTACTTTTATTTATAAACATCTTTCTACAAAAGTACTTTTCACAGCAATATTGTGAAAATGAACTGGGTTTGTGTGTAAAGTCTGTTGTATATGACGCATTTCCAAACACTCCGCTGCCCGGGCTTGACCAACGCCAAAAATTGCCGATGCTCAGTTTATGCTTAAGAACCGTTTGGTATGGATGGCTGCTCTCACGTCCACAAAAAATTTAAAATTACACCATATCATATTAAGTTCTTTCTGTTTAATAAGGAAGTAAGGTCAGGTTAGGTAGGTTTGTTTGGTTAGGTTGGTGAGGTCTGTTTTTCTTACCCACTAAGGTAAGGTTAGGTTTAAACTAGAAGTAACAACTTTTTAACACATTTGCACAAGCTACAAGTGTCCACTATAAAAAAACTGCAAAATTGCAGCATTTTAAAAATCTTTTTCCATGAAAAGTCGGCCGCGGGTCAGTCGTCAATATTTACCCACTTGTCACATCAGTGGTGAAGAGGATAAAAAGCAAGTGAATAAAAATGAACCTAATAGAACCTGACCTAACCAACCAAAGAAGCCTACCTAACATTACCTAACTTCCTAGACAGGGGGTTAACACAATGCCATATTAAAGAAAAAGTACTTATTTTGATACCTGGCACCAATGAAAGCAACACTGTTGAGGCATCATGGTGTAATTTTACGTTTTTTGTGGTCGTGAGAGAACGCTCGGATTGAGTGGGTCGGCTGTAAATAAAGTGAGCACTCCACCACATGCACTGAATGCAGATTTTTTAGAAGTATTTACGGAATATAATTAATTTCTTCACATACCAAGCACGTAGACATCATTTTAATGTCATATGATTTTTTTTCAGTATTTTCCCCTGCAATTTCCTTTATCCTTCATGTCCTGCCCACTACAGGTGATTTATGATCGTATAGTGAAAAACTAAAAAAAATAAATATTGACATTATTATTCACTTGCAACAAGTGTATAGAATGAAAGTTAGTCAGATTGATGAGATATAATTATTGCATGTGTGAAAAATACCAGATTCCATGGTTGTACAAAAGTGAAATAATACCACAATGAAAATTTTATTTGGTTGTTTGAAAAATTAACTCGCGGCAAACAAATTGAGACCTGGTAGGTCGACTTTCAAATACTAGTCGAAATAAATTTTCTATTCAGAGCACATAATTATGCAAGACTTAGGACAGAAATCATGGATTATCCTACTGGTGCAACCATTTAACACTTCTGCGAAGAGACAGTTTAATAATAACCCCTACCACTGAGCACCCTTAAGCAGATCAGCTGATCAACAACAACCGGATACCAGTAAATTGGAGTCACCTTGAATATCCTGGCACAATTGCACTCTAATAACTGCTATGATCTTACAAGGCTTACTCAACACACTCTCATTCTAAATTTTTCCGAAAACCTGGTAATATACCCAAAAATCCGACGGATTTTGCAGCAGCAGCCATGGTCGGAGAGGAACCAGCAGTCCAGCAGGTAGCAGCTGTGATGCAACGTAAAGTGCTCCAATCATCGCTAAAAACAGCATTGGTTCTATTGATCCTTGCTAAGATTAGCATACACTATTTCCTAATTTCAAAATAATGTCTAATCCTTCTTTACGAAAAATATTAAATTAATAAATACGTTCAAGATATAATTGTTAAATTATTAATAATAAAACTACACCTATATCCATATCTTGATTTAATGATCTGGTAACACTGTTTAGCAGACAATAAAGGGTACATAACCACAACTACACCTTCTACTAATAATAATGATGATAATAATAACAATAATATTATTCGTTCCGTAAAATCATTTAACATGTTTATAATTGGTTTGCTATTTATATACTCTATATACAAGCATGCACTTCAGCATATATATTATAGACAATACTACAGAGGTATACAATTTCCAATGCTGTTTATCTACCAATGCTGTTTATCTACCGAAAAATGCTTACATTCACCACTACAAGAACTTATAACACTTTTATTATTATTATTATTATTATTATTATTATTATTATTATTATTATTATCATTATTATTATTATAAAGGCTTTGAAGGATTGAAAAGTCTATTTTTGGTGGGTGTACTGAGGGAGTGTATGAGCGCTAGAGGAATCCCAAGTAATCTTAGTTATAAAAACTTAGGCTACACTGTATCTGCTGGGTTCAGTATTAACGTGTAAGTTGAGTAAAGTCTTGTAATTGTACTGTAATGCCACGTACCACCAGTAGGTGTGAGAAGTAAAGAAATCTACAAGGAGTGCCATATACTATGTATTGTGAGTAGGGCCAAGGAACTGGTCCTACTATGCCATGTAATGTAACACCTGTAAGGTTGTGTGCAGTAAGAGTGTAAGATCTGAGTATAACTGTTGAGTAAAGAAATAAGAAAATAAGTAAATAGGAAAATAAGTAAAGAAGGAAGTACTGAGTCTGCAATAAGCCCAGGAGTTGAACCTGGTAGTTATAAATTAATAATATCTCTCTTTCCCTTTGATTTCATATTAATAAACTTGTTCTTAGAGTATTTTAGGTGTATTCATTTCTCCCACAGTATTTTACCTTTATTTCCGTCCAAGTGATTTGATACCAGAATTACTATACCCATGTGCCTAGACCCTCGACCATGTTACCAAAAGAATGACCATGCTACCAAAAGAATGTCCATGCTACCAAAATAATGTCCATGCTACCAAAAGAATGTCCATGCTACCAAAAGAATATGTGACGGAACTGAGTAAGAGTAAGAAAAGAACAAGATAAGTAAGTAAGATAAGGGTGGTGTAGGTGTTGGAAAACACTCGCCCTTACAACACTAGCAAATTCGCTAAACCTTGAATTTGTTGCAGCAGTCACCCATAATCCACTGCCGTTTTCTATGATACGAAGACTACACGTCAGGTCTGTAAGCGGTTCCCTGGCTCTGCCTCAATTATATCATGTTGGGTGACACGCAGTCTTTTTACCTTTACCACAGAAGGCTGACACAACATCACAACCAATGAATGCATGGCAAAATGTTATTCCAGTGGCTTTTTCAAGCCCTATGGCTACAACTAACTCATAAACAGGAATCCATCTTGTAGATGCCCCTTGACCATAAGAAATCCACCTTTCTTCAAGACCAATGTTGTCTACTGCAGATGCAGTAAAAATATAATTTCTCAATACAGGTGGGCATGTCATGGTCACAAATGTACGGCTAGTAATTTCAACACTTAATTATTCATATTATTCTCCACCGTCCACAGAACATGTGTAAAACGAACGAGTTACCCGTAGAAAGATCCTTGTTTTCTCTTGCGAGACGTGCCATTCGTTTTCTTCTAAAAAAATCCTGAAGTATACTCTTACAATGTAAATTGAAAGTTATGAGATTACTTTTTTTTACTTTTATCCTCATCACCACTGATCAGCTCGTTAGCCGCTTGGGCGATCGGTCACGTCTCTGTTACTTTTCCTTTTCTTTTATCCTCTTCACCAAATGATCGACTCGTTAACCGCTTGGGCGATCGGTCACGTCTCTGTTACGCAATGTTGGCAAGTACTGGGCATGCACCGACTCCTGAATGTACCTGAACCTGCTCCAGTGTTGGTCAAGTTTGGTCTTGAAAGAGCTCACACTCGGTGCCGTCACAACACTTTCTGGTAGATTGTTCCAAGAGTTCACAACTCTCACTCCGAAAAAGTTTGCCCTCACAGTTTTCTGGACTTGCGACTTCTTCAATCTTGAGCTGTGACCCCTTGTGGGGCAAGCGTCCGCCAGCTCCAAGTAAGGACACTCGACTGAGTAGTGCCCCTTGAGATGCTTATACACCTCAATTAGGTCACCACTTGCCCGTCTGTAGTACTGTATAATCTAGGCAAGTTCAAGCGCTCCAATCTCTCAGGGTAGCTGAGGTGCCGAAGTGCAGGTACCAGTCTGGTGGCCCTCTGACCATTTTCAACCAACTGACAGTCCCTAGCATATCTCGGGGACCAGACGGGGTGACAGTGCTCCAGATGGGGAAGCACTTCACTCGTGAAGATCGTTACGAGGGACGGACCGTCTAGATATCTGAACGACCTTCTTATAAGACCCAATACTTTATTTGCCTGATTTGCCTTCTTCTCGCAATGGCCCGAGAACTTCAGCTCATTGTCAACATACACCCCTAGGTCCTTCTCACATTCAGTCTCAATTAATGCAGTTTCTTCGTCCTGTTGGGACATATGATACGCCTCCTTACCGTTGGTTCGTCCCAGGTGCATCCTCTTACACTTCGTGACACTGAATCTCAGCAGCCATTTCTTCGACCATTCTTGGAGCCCACAGAGGTCCTTCTGCAGCTCTTCACAGTCTGCTTGGCACTGTCATAGAATGTTACCAGAAACCTATAGTTCTTTTGACTGAACATTGGTCCCGTTGACGTGAATACTTGTTTGGCTTATGTGGAAGTAAGGCCAAGTGGTCTTTGGAGTTTGTCTTAGTGTTAACGTAAATTTGGCCAAGTCTTGAGTGAACCCCAAGGGGTGGTTCATAGATGTATGTTCTGATAAAGGATCCAGCATTTAACTTAATTTATAAAAAAAAAATCTATTATATGTTGGGGGTATCATTCTCCTACAGTATTTACCTTTGATTCTTCCCCACACCTTGATACCATTAAATACAAATAGACCCACATGCCCCACACCTCGCCGACCCACATGCCCCACACCTCGCCACGTGGTTACCACCCAAGTGTTCTGTTACTATCACCTTAGTTAAATGATTAATGTTATATTATACAGTATGTTCTGATAGAAAAACCTGGGTGGTGGCATCTACCGTGACTATTGAAGATTGTAACATAAGTGATTTCCCAGGTAAGCCTTAGGTCAGAATATAACTAGAGAAGAGAAAAGTAACAGAGAACAGGAAATAGAGAAACAAGTATAAAGACAGAAAGAAATAAATACTTTGAGAAAGAAAGAAAGAATTAAGAAATACAGATAAAAATAACAGAGACGTAAAATACACCCTAGATAAAAAATCGCCTCCCTCTGTAGGCACACAACTCCATCTTGTACACACGAGAAAACAGCAGCATCGCCAAGTTGGGCAGATATTTCTAGAACCCGATCATAGGAAATGCAAATACCATGCTCAAGGAACTTGTCAATAAGCAATCTTTTCCTAGTCTTTGCAAACACAGACATGGCAATATACACAGCAAATGGGGTCTCGCGACCCTTCGAATGTCTGTAAGATTTAAGAAAACAGTTGAACAGCAACAGCTGTGCCATAGCAAGATCTGACTTGGTTGCTCTGTGCTGAATTTGTGATTTAATGTCTGCGCCATGTTCAGTCTTACATATGAATTGAAGTGATGAAGGAACTGCCTCTTCAATACTTCTATCATCAAGTATGGTTAGGAATTTTGACTTGTGATTGAGCATATCCTGCCGTATTTTTGTTGCAGCCTTGACCAAATGAATAGCTTCACTGAATTTGATAACCCCATCCAGGATGGAGCCGACGTTCTCTTGGAATGCTAGCAAAACATCTCTTCTTTGATTATGAGCTTCCAGTTGAGGAATATGTGAAACCAATTGGTCCTTAAGTCTAATAGAATGAACTTCAGGTGATTCGACACCAAGTTGTTCTAGTTTTTGCTTGTACAGTGAGACTAAGTCTGCTAGTCTAAAGATTGTTCGATTTAAACCTTCACATGCAGTTTGTGTCTCCAATTCAGAGAAAGCCAGTGGATATGCTTCTTTTTCGTCAAGGTTCTTTGTGTTTTTCTCATATTCCTCTGCACTAAGATAAGCTGTTTATCTATTTTACGGTGCAGCTAAGCAGGCAGGGTGTTACTTCATCACTTGTGCCACTACACCTCCTGCACTAAGTTTAGCAAGGAGTCTTGTCACTGAGTGTCTTTGCACATTCATTGATTCTGTCATTGAGTTTCATTGTCTTTGCTTGTCTGACAGCACTCTAAGGTCCTGGCTTGTCACACAAAAAACATTCTGTTGTAGTTTTTGTGTCTCTTTGCTTTCGTGGCACCTTACTTCTGCAACCTTCATCACTGTTAACTACAGAGGTAGTTGCCCTTTTTGGGGCTCTTTGTGACATTGTGTTGTTAAACCTAAGTCTACAGCTCTCATGATATTTTGCATTATTTTTCCCCAGTGTCTCTGCAATACCAACTCAATCATCTAGTCTTTCCATATCAAGCCTTATTGGAAGGGCATTGGTTGAGTTGAAAAGGGGAATATTCCTTTCTTCTAGTAGGGTTAGTCTTTGGAGATTTAAGTTCTTCCTTCTTATCATCTTGACATAGACAGCACTTGGCCCAGTCTGTTTTCCTTTCAGGATTACTTTTAGGACCAAAATTCATCGCCACTGTGGTACAGAACAGAGGGTTTATCCTTTTACCACTCTGTATCATATGTATTTTCCTGTATAGGATATAACTAGGTTCAAGCCCAATCGTTAATCCTGTGCGATTTGTACACCATCCGGATAACTTAACCCCGTTATCCTTGGCTCGGCTCTCCCGCGCTGGCAC